CACTGACTACATCTTACCTTTTTCGAAATGTAATCTTCAGGAAAATATCTCTGATTTCCTCTGGTGAAAGATGTACAAACTTGGTCAACCCCAATTTGCGAGAATTTTTTTGTTCCGCTCATCCATGAGCTCGGAGTTTTTTTTGCAGATGTTGAAGTCAAAATTCGTTTCACTTTCATTACCACATGCGTGAACCAGCACTAGAAAAAAAATTTGTTGAGTGCTGGTTCATGCATTTCTCCAATTATATTTTTGCAGATTATTCTGGTTCTTTGGAATTGGCTGCTTCAGTCAGCTGACGAGTGGCAGCAACCGGGTTAACTATTGGGAGAAAACTAATGAGAAGAACTAATGCATGGCGCTTGTCTACATTGTGAATTCATCGTTGCTGTAGGATCTGAAGATAATCTGCTAGTCATATAATGCATTGAGAAGTAAGGAAGTCTCTAGCAATATATCACAGGAAATTTGCAGATGAGTTTATTACCTCCTGTACAAACAGTATCTTCTATAATGAAACGGTATGTTTGGCATATTGGGACTGCCAAGGCTGAACTGAAACACAAATTGAGCCGATTTATATAACCAGTACATAACCAGCAGATATGCTCATCCTTCGTGTGGTGCGTCTTGTTTGATTTAGAGCAACCTGTGAAGAGTTGCTTTAAGCATTAAGTCTTCTCTTTGGAATCATGAAGACGTAGAACGATCATGATGGTGCCGTATTTAATTCTTATTTGAAAGCGTGCTAGCATTTGGACAGGTTGCCACGAATGTGGACTACTGGTGAAGCTTATGTTCTAGTCTTGCTAGATGTGAAAGTGTGCCTGATAAACCTATACCATCTAAACTCAAGTGAAACTACAAGCATGGATATTTATATACTTCTATAATACGCAGTTGCCAGGGGGGCAGATTGCGCCGGCATTTTGACTTTAATATTAAAACGAGCTTCCAGAAATCCAGAATATGACAAAGGTTTCAGGCGTCCTGTAAATTAGTCGTTGAAATATAGGAGATCGGAACTCATGTAGGAACTTGGCTAAGGGATCATGAGTGTCAAAGAATGCCAAGCACATTGACTTGAGACCAAGTGACGCGAGCAAGTACATTTCAATTATTCACTAGCTGTGTGAGTCATCTAAAAGGGACGTTCTCACGGTCGACATATGCGATTCTGCGATAGATCCAAATGTGTAGCTCACAGTATCTCCTTGATCCTTTTATGCCAAAATCAATACAACAGCGCTGGTTCTAAGCTGCTGGGAACGTTCCTTGCTCGTCACAGACTCACCAAATTTCAGCCGTTGATGTCTCTAAAAGAGGAATTAACGTGAGTTCGTGATTGGATATATCTGCACGTGGGGAGGCGTGATTACTTTACGTGCTCATGAAAAGAGGTCGAGCATGTACATCCATACGGGTGTCTGTCACGGATGTGCTATCGGCACTCTGTCACACACTTCAATACTATACAATATACAGTTTGAAAACCAGGATCAACCAACCACTTCTGGGTTTCAACGTGATTTAGACATCAATCTCAAGAGGCTATTTCAAGCTCCGATTGTGATTCTGCTGCTGCTGCAGACTTTTCACATGTTGGAAATCTCTGTTTTTGTGGGAAAGTTGTGGCAAGATCATTTAAGTCACGGAAACTTGAGCACTCTCCAAAGAGTCACCAATGTACAGAAAGCAGAAAACAAGTCTCGAATGACCAAGTTCTTGTGACGAAACCAAAACGACTACAACATATGCTGCTGAAATGGCCAGAGGGAATATGGCATGATCTATAGACCATTGTTAAAAGCACATTTTGGCCACTTTTGTCTAATCTGGACTCGATTTTTGTATTTCGTAAGGGCAGAGAGAGCCCAAAATAAATCCGAAGCTTTACCTTGCCACAGGACATTGCAACATGGAGCGGATAAAAGGACTCATGTGCACATGTTCACGTTTTTCCGAGATTCCAAATCAAATGCCTCAGAAGCTGTAAAGGTTCAATCTACGAAGAACGAAACTTACAGATTTTGACTGTTAGAAGCAGACGACTTTCATCAACCCCACCTGATGCCCATGGTTGTTATCAAAACATGTCGACTCAGTCCTAATTTCCGTATAACCAAAGATATCTCCCTCAAGATGGCTTTACGATCGAGAATGCATGATACAGATAGATGGCAAGATACATTATCACACCAGGCAAGAAATCCGATAACTATCGAGACCAGTATGAGGATTTATACAAACCTGTTGTCGATGCAGCCCTTTCATGAAGTTTTGGAAACAGAAAGAATTTGGTTGATCTATAGCAAGTTCATGCCCCAGGTCCTTAGAGAGGCTAGATAATTCATCGCAACAGATCTCATCATCTGTACATGTAGTCAACCTGCCCGCAAATCAGGTCCAATTCATGAATGATAGTTCAACTGGTCCAGCAAAGTCGATCGTACCTGAGCCAGTTCTGGAGTACCTGTTGCAGGACTTAGTCCCTGAGAGCTGTGGAAGGAGCACGAGGTGGCGATGACAGGCTAGCTGGAGGAGGCCGTCTTGGAGGTCGTGGCGGTGGCGGTGGAGGACTTGGAGGTGGGCAAGCTACGGGAAGAGATGGTAGCGGAGAAGCAGGTGGCGGAGCTAGGGGAGCTGCTATCGGAGCACCGAGAGAAGACTGCGCTCGACTTGGCTGGGATGACAGGAGCCCGAGCAGTAGGAAGCCGACCAGCACACAGTCGCAACAAGTTCATCGTGATGGTGATGATTGTCGATTCCTACGTGCACACAGGATGAGAAATCAAAATAAACGGAGAAATGAGAAACAAAACAAGCTGCACAGTGACCAAATCGTCTCTAGATATGCTCACTTGTGAAGATAGCAATAATTGGGTGTTCAGATGGGTGACCTGATTGGATTTCACACAAGATTTCTAGTACATTCGAACGAGTATGTCCTGGGGTGCAGACTCATGTGACTTGTGTATGCAAAGCCTGACCATTTCAAATGCTTAAGAAGCAAGAAAGGGCGCAGAGATAGACCGTACTTGAACCAGCTGTTACCGCAGCTCTAGTTCTAGTTTCCTCCTTCGAGACTTGCTTATCCATCTGCTTTTGGGGCCCGAATGCTTCACGCAGTCTAGATCAGGGCTTAAGTAGGTTTCTCCTCTCTAGATCTTCGGAATGGCATATGACCATACCTCTCCTCTGAACAAAGAATCTTGTGAAAGAGCTCATGCAGAGCTGGAAGTGAACAATGATAGCACGTATGCAGATTCGTAAATTCATCGGGAAGGTCATTAGAAAACTTAATAGATTCTCATATTATGATTCTTATATCATAGATATTAGTCAGATGTCGATCCGATATTTGCTTCATTCCCTACAATACGCAGAAGTGGTAATATTCTTAGAGTTTGCTTGACTATATTTAAGTCCAAGGTGAGACAGCAGATCTTGAAAACATCATCAAACCTTCTAGCATCTCAAAGTGAAGTCATCGTACAGTAGCTACTGTGTTCCTTCCTACGTTGGAGTATAGAAACACGGGAACATTCTTAACATATGAACACGATAATGATTGACAAATCCACGGGAAGAAAAAGAATCCTCTGGAGGAAAAAACTCTTGTGAGCACTTTCTATTAGAGAAACGTCAGCCAGTCATGGAATTCACTTTTGTCCTTTTTCGGCTATTATGCCTTAACATATATCGTGCTTCAGGATGTGAGTATCTTGCCATATTGTACAATTGGTTTTTGTTACAAGATTCCCGCCATCATGACTAGCCTCGTTAGGGATCGAGAGCCTCATCTATCGGTCATTCGTACTTGTATCTAAACAATTATATACCTGATTGTATATAAACCAAAGCCATGTCCGCCAGTTTTCACCAATACGAGAGAATGCACATCGGAGTCAGGTCCCTTGTTCTAATACTTAGCTTTTACTAAATGCTTTTGTTGTAGTGTTTGACCCAATTCTCAAGTTAGGGAGTGTCTGATTACGGCTCACTGACTTTTGTGAGTTCCAACTCTTGGCCAGTCATCTTCGATGGTTTTGTCTAATGAGCTACAATACTTATATTTCCTCAGCTGGACATGTGAAACACAAAGGCAGTACAAATGTAATATAAACACGTCTTCAGTGCGTCTGTGCAGACTTTCATATTTATAAATAGTTCGTGGCAAGATCCATAATACATGGGTTCCAGTTCTACACATCCTTTTGTTGTATGTGCGATATATACAATATAAGTTCTGAATCTTTAGAAACAATATTCACTCCACTCTGTCCACATATTCTTCAGAGAAATTAGCTAGCATACTCACTTCTACATATGCTATTCGCAAGCTAAGTACAAAACATAGCCTGCTAAGAATCTGCACCATATCCGGGACATTTAGTAGCTGTTAAGGAAATTGAACTAATTTTTTTTTCAAATGTTCACGTCACCTCGTTTCTATAGCATGTCATATCCTCAGTTTCGCTGGAAATACAATTCGCACTTTTCGAGACATCTTACAGGGTACTTATTTGCTCTCGCAGCCACAAGGAAAATATACAGTACATGAAATCTGTCAAGATCCACAGAATTAAAAGTTTCAAGATTATTATTGATTGTGAATTATTTAAAGAAAAAAATGCAAGACAATTTTGGTGGTATATGCATAGGTATATGCACATCTGGAAATTGATTTGAATCTGGAACCTCAGATCCAATCTTCAAACTTAGACGCAAGTCTGGTTCAACATATAGTATACCATTCTTAGCTTAAGTAATAAGATCACTAAAATAAGTGAATCTTCTGAGCGTGAACGTTGACAAGTCGTTGACAGGAATCAAGGCCCTTACCGGACGTGCAATGATTACGCACATCCAGCTCCGAATCTCCTATGCACCAGATTCTCCGTTGTACCGATTTGTTTGTTTGCTTTATTTTTTATGTTTCAGAGACTGGAACACCTTGATATATAACCACGGATGTCCAACAGATACATCATTCCAATCTTCAAACAGGTCTGTCAGCAGATTTCTAGAGGACACTTGCTGCAGATCTTGAAGAGAGGAACTTGTATTCACATTACAACTATCAGAGCCGAAGGTATAGACAACCTTCTTACACGATTGTGGTCACTTGTAAGTACTCAAAATGCTCTTACCTACATGTTCATGTTTCGCATATTTAGCTCGAGAGTTTGTTTAAAGAATCCGTCGACCAGAATTACAGTTGAAGAGTTTCACGTCATTTCAAACCATCCTGGACGTTATGTATGAGGATTCTAGTGTTCTAATTCCCATTTTCGTTTTGATTCTTATATTTCTCTATCTTATCCTCCTCTCCTGCTTGAGATTTTCTGATTACACAGTGTCCTATATGACAGTATTTCACGTAGAAAAAGGTGCTAAAGGCAGTCTTGTCAAGACAAATTTGCTAAGTCCGGTCCTGTGAATCCAACCAGACGTCGCTCATTCAGATGAAATCAGGATTTCTATCCACATACACATGAGGCCGGAAATTAACTTCGTGATGAAGCGTCGAAATAGATCCAGATATATGAAAAATTGCAAGAGATGGCATGTACAAAGTGACTGGAAAACTATGAATGTTTGCTCAAATGCAGGTACAAACATCCCAATGGCGTTCCGGCTGAATGTAATGATAGGGCTGCTCCTACTTGGGTTCCTGTCTTCGAAACAAGTTGGAGCGCAAGCTCCAGCCAGCACTCCGCCAGCACCACCTCTGGCTTCACCAGCAAGTCCACCATTGGCGTCTCCACCAGCACCACCTCTAGCTTCACCACCAAGTCCCCCATTAGCTTCTCCACCAGCACCATCCTTAGCCTCGCCACCGAGTCCCCCATTGGCTTCACCACCAAGTCCTCCGTTGGCTCCATCTTCAACTCCCCCACCTGCTGCTGCTCCACCAGCACCTGGTCTAGCCACACCACCAGCTTCTCCTCCAGCATCTCCTCTAGCTCCACCACCTGCTTCTTCCCCAGCACCTCTCCTAGCTCCTCCACCCGCTTCTCCCCCAGCTCTCCTAGCTCCACCGCCCGCTTCTCCACCAGCTCCTGCTCCTCTGGCTCCCCCTCCTGCTTCTCCACCTCCATCTTCTCCCCCACCTCCTCTTGCTAGCCCACCAGCCCCTCCTCTAGCTCCTTCTCCAGCTCCCAGTCCTAGCCCAGTCCCCTCTCCTGTCCCGGAACCTGCCCCGGTTCCCGAAATTGTGTCAACATATGCAATGGTAATTCATCATATTCCAGTTTTCCGGATGTTTCATTTCGCATGCAGATGTGAATTTGGAAGCATCGTAATCGTCGCTTACTCTTAGTTCTTTTCTGTGAAATGTCAAGTGCGATGAATAATACTTCTTCATGCTTGCTCTCGTTCTGTGTTGGAAATGTTCTTTTCAGCTAAGCGCTTCATCCACATTGGGTCCCTACAAAAGGTTAGGCTTCGCGTTGGCTTCAGTTGCCATTGCACTGTTGGCTTGATGACGGACTCACGCACGACATCGACATCATCGAGACTTTACACAGGGCTGTCCAGATTATGAATCTCGTGGTTCGATATATCCGTGTATCCAGATGCTCATGTTCACACTGGATTTCGGTTCATCTTTCTCCTTTAAATGGCTAGTGTTCAGTAGGATTGATTACAGAGTTCTTGAACAATTTTGAGAGTTCAGATTTTAGGACTTCTAGAGTTACAATAGTTGATGGAGTTCTAGCAGAGGATCGTCAGTTTGGCTATTTTACGTGACCGAAAGTGATTACTCTGATCGGAACCTTGTAGGTACTCGGATCATGCTGGGATCAACTTTAGTAAAATTCCGAAGCTAGTTTTAGATTAGATTGTGATGATTTTTTCGAATAAACTCCATACGAAATTTATCCTTCAGTCTTGTTTAATGAGCATGGACTTTCGCCTGATATTGCATTTTTATCTCACAGTTGAGCCATCGATGGTTCAGGCTCACCGTAACCAGAGCTCGTATCAGATTTCAAGGATGATCAAGGCTGAAGCTACCCTGTATTCAAACAACATTAGTGACAGAGAAAAGTAAACGAGAAGTAACAAGAAGCTTATAGATCGCCTTGTGATCACCTTGTAAAACACTTTCCGAAGTCCTCCTGTGGAATGGTCAGGATGAAGGTGCAAGGACATGACTGCCAACGCGGAGCTCACATAGAATTTGAGGTCGAGTATCTCCAGATGTCATTCTTCTTTTCTTCTGTAGTGTGGAATGCACAAAAGACTCCGAAGAATATGCTCACGCGAGTTGACATGTTCACTGCATGTTCTCAGAATCAGACAAACAAAGTGGGTGAAGAATGACATGAGCTACTGCTCGTTGGTAAAGTGTGTCGGTCAACTGATATATTGAGAGCTGTTGGTTATTTTGCGGATAAAAAGGCCACAATTCTTCAGAATCACAGAAATCAAAATTATAAAAATTTAGAGACTTTGCTCAAATTTGATTATATAATAGAATAGCAGCTTGGGAATGTATCCAAAATCGCTCAATCCCGAGAGAATGCTGAATATTAAAGTCAGGGCACAATTGGAGACAAAACATCAAAAAAATTTCAACTTTATTGAGTAGTGAGTACAATGTTTTTTGCGCTCTCAACCAATAAATTTTTCGATACTTTATTTGATATAACAGTGCTCACGTCTCTGTGACTGAGAACTTAGCTGTTCCACTGTCTAGTTTGTTGACAAGTTAAAGTCAGAATCTGGACAAACATAAGCATGGTCCTCAGCATTTGACGCTGATACTTAGTATAAATCATCCAGTATCAAAGTCCACCACAAGACGACATTGACTTCCGAATAGGCAATGAAGATCTGCGAATATTAATTTCTCACAAGTGCTCATCACTCTCTTTCCATAAATTCTATTTTGATTAGTATACATCATTAGTAACTGTAAATTAGAGATAGTTATATGTGTGTGAAAAATTGACACAAATAATTACTTTCATACTTACTGCGACGAAAACCTCCCTCCCCAAAAACCTACCAACCTATGTTAAAATCTTTTGCATTTCGACGTAATCTTGAAAATTTTAACGCCCCTCCATATGCATATTTCGGAGAACTTGAAAGCTCGGACCTGTGATACCCAGCAGCCAATTTTATGCAAAGATATGTATCAAGAATACGTTTAATCCTTGCATTTAGTTTCGGCATGTCCGATTCGGGAAGCAAGTGTATTTCATGTAATACGGTATCCTTCAAGCTTCGGTGCTTATGAAAATGTTTCAATTTGATTTTTATTGACCTCACATTTTGACGCCTTGTTAAGCTTTACTAGGTCGATCATGATCAGCGTAATCTTAGTTACCTTGAGTATACTACATACTGATCGTGGTCAGCCAGATGATCGCTTCGGTCTAGGTTTATTCTGGCAAATGAATACCACATATGCATTAAGTAACCATTATGCATACAGTGCTATGTCATATGAGACATTATGCTAGCAACGAGTGGATTCAGTGGAGTGATCTGCAAATAAAATGTCATCTAGAGCTATTAAATCAAAGGAAACATATCTACTGAATCATCTGATGGAAGAATTAACCATGTGGTGCACTCGAAGGCTGATTGAGCTTACAGAGAGTCCAATAAATTTTCTTGGAGGATTATACGAAAGTCATACAGATTCATATTTCGGACTGAGATTTAAAGCTTACTCCTCCATTATGAGCTTTTAAAAACAGTGCAAGAAATCACAGCAAAACAGATTTCCCATTAACCTAAAATAAGAAGTGATTACTACTTACCTCACCTAGTCTGCCACGCTCTCCTGTATTTTATGCTTGAAATATTCTTTTGTTTGAATCATCGAGGCATGTTGTGCATCTTATTAATTCATCACCGGGGCGACGGTTAGTTTCATGCTGGTGGAAACTAGATATTCTGATGATAATAATCAACTTAAATAGTTGTTGGAACTTGAAAAATAAGAATAACCACATTGTGACCTATGATAGTATGGTTTGCAAGAATCACACCATATTTGTGCAGTGTCACCTTTCAAACATTATTGATAGAAACTATAGCTCTAACAGCATATTTGAGGTCGATTGTAAATCAGTAATGTATGAAGATGTATGCCTTCTGTTTTTTGAACTTATGATGATGTGTTTTATGATATGATATACGTGCATAAATTTCTTCATGATTCATATAACGGCATTGATATTGAGGAGAGTGATAGTTGTTTTCAATGAGTAGTCCAGCTGGCCATGCTAGGCTTTCTTCAGCCCGTGGTAGAATGTTACAAGTATATATTCTTTAAGTGGAAGTTTTGGTTTTGAATACCTCAAAATAAAACTATCGTGAAACAAATTATGGTAAAACTATAGTGCAAATAAATATGAAATAATTTACAATAGTTTTGGTTTGATTGTTCTCCTTTATTTGAGCCGTGATAATGGTTTTCCATTATTCAGTCAATTTTCCAACTAGATAAAAATATTGCTACATAATTTTCTTATGAAAAAATTATTTATGTATTGAGATGTTTGATGTGAGAACTTAATTTTTTATCCCTATCTTTTGTGATCATGTGCATGACACATAATATTTCCTAAAACGTCACAAATGTGTATGTTTTCCCCTAACCAACAAGCGAGTGTGTGTCATTGACATAGCACATCAAGAGAATGATGTCATCGTAAGGAAGATCTTAACCCCAACTAGAGAATGATATTGATATCTTTGAGCTCCGGACAGTGATAGAAGTTCTGAATCTATTCAATCATATTCCAATCATCTCATAAAAAATATGAGAACTGCTTAAGTTTACATGAAGAGCAAGCATAAATCCCTGTAGAGCTCACCTGCTTATTTTCCTAGTTTATATGAAGATCTGTGCACTCTGCACAAAATCGAATATGGTTAAAGAAAGCCCAATAATAATTTGGTTTCCAAATTATTTAGCTTCTAGTGGGAAAAGCTGTGCCAAGGCAAGCCGCGGGAGTATTAAGCCCAAATTGCAGCTTCTTCCCTACAACATATCATGCACACAGTCCATATTGTCTTCTTTGAAACACGATAATATATTCATTTGGTCTCTGAACGCACATATAAGTAGAGTGAAACATATTCACTCATTTAATAGGAAAACTTTAGACTGAGAAGGTATAAATATACGTTCTCCAGGGTTCCTTACGAGCAAGAATGCGTATATATGCAGGTCTAAATTATGTAGCTGTTGGTGCTGGACGACTTGACAGTGTTTCATCAGACCTAGCCAAAGGCTATGACGTATTACTTAGTAGCACTGAAACTGGATAATGTTTTATAATCATTGTAGTCCCATTCAAAAATCTATTTTCTTCCCGAGATCACGGCATATGAGCAGGAAATCCAACATCTCCACCTTCCAGACTCACTTGCAGATGGAAGCTATTTTTCTTTCGGTCTTGTGATTGGAGAAGCCATGAAAATATTTGTATCTATACTGATTCGAATTATTCCAAGCATATACTGAATATCGAGGTCTTGTTGAGTAGATTTTGGACGACGATGATCAGCCAAGAACGTAGTAGGCGGATTTTCCTCTGCCCAATGAAACTTGGTATCCAGGATTTTATATTCATGTGGACGACAGAGTGTGCTTGGGAATACTCGAGTGTGGAGGCTTGAGATAGTCGTTGCCGACCTACTAATGGCTAGTGACAATAGCAAAACGTGGAGTCCGTTCCCGCTTTTCCCGGCCAAAAATTTGGACGGGTGATGACCGACCAGCCAATAATAATTGACGAAACAAGCATTCATGTCGCTGAATTTCTCCTATGTGCTCAAGACACGGAAGACTTTGGAGATTTTGGAAAGGCTATATTGCCGTGTTCGTGGGTATCGATCGATTTTCAGGATACAATTATTATAAGATATATTCAACAGGTGCTCCATAGTAACTGGAGCTTGATGATCACACATTCTGAGTTTTTGAACCACTGCAAACCAGTCAAATTGACGAAACGTTGACTCGAACAATTTCCGCGTTAATCATTACCGCGTACAGAGGAGCTGGTATGTACCAGTATCAGCTCTTACTCCTAAGTGCAAATAGATAGAAAAGAGAATGGAGCTTTTTCGTCTCTCCACTTTTCAACATGGAAGTTATTGTGGATGCGTTTACTGATTTCAATACGATATTATATTCTTCTGTGAGAATTAATCCTGTTCTAAGGAGCGATATATCCAGTCTTTTACATTTATGGGTACTAGCATTCATTCAGAATCATGGTTGCGGATTCTGTATGTGACAAAGAAGTAGCCAATTATTTTCATGATTTGGTAATAATGTGGTCCTTTGGGACACTTTTCTCTGACATTGTTTCTATTATTCGGCCTTTTGTTGGCCATCTTGATGTAAGAGTGACAATCAACTGAAGTCCACGTTATGAAAGTCCACATATACCGATGAGCGCCTTTTGGCCCCGGACAGTGAATCTGAATGTTATGCTTTTTCTGAAGGAAGTAAACAACGTCAAATTGTTATTACTATCAGAGAACTTCACCACAATTGCAAATATGTGAGGTAGGCAATGATTCCTGATGATTTACATTAAATGATGCAGTCCCATTTCTCTCACTGATTTTCAACTCATAGTTTTGACAAAACTGTTTGGAGCCTAACCGCATTGCTCCAGCCTCGAATTTTTTGAGTAATCGATGTAGATAGACTCCGATACTGTTTCAAACCTCTAGAATAGTTCTAATTCCATCGACTATAGTTGAGTGGTTTGAGATTAGGATCTCCGAAACAGTTGCTGTGTTACAAAGGTGTAGTGTGTCTGTCACTGGTTTAAAATGTTGTAGTAAACTTCAGAAACACCATAAGATGTGACAGTTGTTAACAATATGATAGTTTTAGTTCGTGGTTGTGACAGGTACAAGGACCGGTTGCATATTTCAGAACTGTCATCTTGACTTTGAAATTTGAGTCTAGATACAGGATGAAGACTTTACTTACGAGTACTTGCTACTTTTACGCACCACCATATATAAAAGTGGCAGGCTATTGGACGTCGGAAGTGTCAGATTCACACTGTCTGTCCTTCCGGCTGATATCATGTCACCTCGAAAGACGTAGAATGCATTTGGTTTCGTCCTCTCGTGAACTAGTGTTTACGGACTGAAATATTATTTGCTATTTCTTTCCTTCCATAATTGCATGACCGCAGAGCAGTAGTTCGTCGTTTTATCTATTAAGGCTTGGCATATAAGTTCGTGACAGTCTTGGCGAGTCTTCAGATGAGTAAAGCAGTTCAATCTGGGGTCCACCAACATTTAGTACTTGAGTTTCCAATTAGCTTGATACTGTGTTGGGAAAAATACTACAATTTTCCCTCGTCTCATAAACGAAGGAGCTCCAAATAAATAAAATAATATATATATCCTGCAACAATCTGGCTACAGCAGAGCTAGAAATCTTAGTGGTTCTGAAATTCTGCTGAAGTGGTTCTGAATGGCAGAGGTCGGCTGCTCTGGAACAGAGAGGAACACAGGCACAGATATTCGCATTTAACAAAATGATTGCGCATAACGGTATCGTCGTAAGAATCATCTTGGATTCTTCATAAATGTGCATAGATTAGCTCATCACTTGTTTTCATACAGCGGCAGAAGGGACGAAATATACATGTATCTATCTTCAAGTTTGCACAAGACTCTGCATTTTTCTTCTGCATAGGAAAACTGTTTAATCTTAATGATCTGTAAAACCTGAGGAATTGTTGTAGCAATACCATATTTTACCCACTCTCCTGGTTTTTCAGTTCTCAATGATAAGCTGGACGATAAATATGATAAAGTCTATCGAGTGACAGACCAGAGTACAAGCGAATGAAAGCTCGTTGCGCAGTGAAGTAAGCATGTCATTTTATTGTCTGACTAAGGTTGAGGATATTTGCAGGCGGCCGCGTGGAAGGAGCAGGTTCCGTAAATTCCACCCATGTACAGCAGGGCAGTGACGTTCGAATGGACTCTCTATTATTGAAATAAGATCGAGAGACACAGAGTTCTCTCAAATAAACTGTATTATTTGAGAGAACTCCGATTCGACCGAACATGCGAGGAATGCAGGGAACCATGAGGTGGTGCATCCTCGCAGCATCAGAAGGCGGTACAGTTTCAGGATAGGATATTGTGAGCTATGACATGGGTCTTGGTGAATACTTCTCACAAATGTAGTGAAGCATGAACATCATCTATCCTAGATCATGCTGCAACACTCCTCAACACACTGAGATTGATGTTGCAAACATTAAAGTACAGAATGCAGATTTTGAATTTCTGTCTGCACCCAAACACTCTATGGTTTACGAACCACTCACTGGAAAGGCATAGGATAGGCTCTTGCGATTCTCCTGGTGATACGAAATTAGTCAGATGGGGTTCAAATTTCGCACATAGCAGTCACTTCTCCAATCACGAAAATTCAAGATACTCACAGATATATCCGGATCATCTCAAAGCGTGAGGCAATGATATATTATTAACATCTCCAGAGTTCAGGTTCTCTTGGCCTCGACGAGATCGAAATGTGCAACATTGAGAGTGGTAAATTATGAAAGCTGCATCTCAATACAGAAAGTTTCGCTGAACGAAACAAGACGACCCAATCACACTGGATCGGAATCTGTTCTAGAACGGTGACATGGAAAAAACTCTGCATATACACATACAGCTATATACCACGCCTGGTGGAAAGCCTGGACTGCGAGCGGGGAACCAAGCAGCTCGTTTCAGCGCCCTACTTGAGTCTACTTCGGATCTGCGTAGCTTCGCGAGACACTGAACTCTATCAAGCAATCACCCATCAGTTGCAGAGGGAGAAGACTCCGTCGCAGCGGTACACGTTGCCCTTGACCAAGGTGAATTCAATGGTTCCGTATGCACCGGCGAGTCCCTTGGATCCACCGACGATGGCGGCGGTCTGTGACCTCAAGTCTTGGTCCTTCCTGGAGGTGTACCACTGCGAGCGAGTGTACAGGCGAGCATCGTTACCGAAGGTGCCACCTTCTTCCTCGAGGTCCACGAACAAAATGTTGGATACGTCCTGGAGAATGTTGGTGGTCCTGCTTTTGCCGAAGGTAAAGTAGAGACCGGAGAATGTCGCATATAAGTCCGAACTGGCGACCTCCGTCTTCGTTGCAGCGTTCTGGTAGATCATACCCTTGGGAAACACCTCGATCTCTGCCGGCTCATTCATCTGCTGGAACACTGTGAATTTATATGTCTTCACAGTGCACTCACTTCCGGCTTGCACCAGGCAGAACATGGCAGCTACCATCAGGCAGCCGGCGAGTAGAGGGATGGAGTTCGAACGAGCCATGGCTGAATCCTTTAGTCTGCATTGATCGAAGAACGCATGCGTCATTAGTATCCTTATGTTCAGCTCTAAGACACAATATTACAACAATGAGCACAGAGATATTCGAGACTCCTGATATCTTGCCTACTTTCATCCTGCTGCACAACAAGTTCTAGCTGAACAAGCTGAGCTTTCCATTCCTCTATTGAAATAGAACTCAGTACTGCGCCAAGACACAGAGTACAGCGGGAGGTTAAGGTTGTGGACAAGTATCCGTGAGAAATTATTAACAACACATCATCGCCGTAGGATGTCTATCTGGAAAACAACCAGTTTCCGATTGCTCGGCATGGAAGGGACACAAGAGCCTGCAATCTAATCAAAGTTATGCCACAAGGAGATCATGATCTACGGAGTTTTCAGAGCTCTTGAACTAGCTGAAATCCATAGATGTGGAGTTAATCCACAATGCAGTCCGTATCCGATCGAGCCAGTTCATCGAAGCTGATAGATTGAATGCAGAATGTGAGACCCGACAGTGGAGGGTGGAGGGTGAAGGGGCCGAGCAGAAGTCTTACCTTGGAAATGGATGACTCCTTACTCAAGAAGAATTGCTCACTGATGTTTTACATTCGTTCTACGCCCTGCTTTTATACGAGCTGCGAGGATTTGCTCATGCACTTCTCGTGGGAAGAGGTTCTCCTCTTTGACTGACTGTACACAGATCGCACCGTGCATGTGACTAGATACAGATAGCACCAATCACTTTTGGAAACTAGAAAGTACATATTTCTTCGTGTCATTATGTCGTACTGTACTTTTCTTACATTTCACAGATCGATACAGTGGTCTCAGAAATATCGGCATGCATTGTTTTTTTCATTTGTACAACGGACTATCCTCTTGGTACTCAGCCCAGTGTACTATAATATGGCTCCATATTCAATGCTGCAAATAATGTAGGCCTAGGAGGTAGCCCCAGCACCTTATCTTTTCGTACCAGTCATAAAGTTCATCTTTACCGGTCACGATATGACGGGGCTGCGCGGGGGCAACCAACGGCGTCCCATGATGGTGAGAAGGCATTGGTGATCCAGATTTCGATGAATATTTTCAGGCCACATGTATGCCCTTAGAGAAGTATCTGGCATCTTGTAAAGCTGATACGGAGAACATAAATAATTGACGTGGGTTCAAATTCGGCGGAAGACCTCTTGTGATATATGACGCATAATCAATTTTTGGAAAATCGTTTTTCCTTCGAGGCGGAAGGTATTTGGGCTTTCTGGAGAAAATGTGGGATTATTATTTTCTTAGCTCTTGAGCTAAGTCATGAGGATGTGGTATGAATTGATCAAGGTAAGGAAATGTGGTCGGTGCCTTGGGTCTTGTGACCATTTTGTGGGGTTCCTTGTACAAGTATTCGGAAGTTTTCATTTCATTTGTTGTACTATGGGATTGCTCAAGTGTACATGTGTGTTAGTGGCTTACAATTATTGAGCTTCCAACGTGGATATTCCCTTCTGAGGAATACCATCAAGATTCATCCATTTTTACTACAGTCCTCATTTCTCGGGCATCTGACTTAGTCTCTATCGCTGGTTCTGTTTTCAGCAAAGATGTAAAGATTTGCACTCCATTTTCCTTGCCAAAGACGCTATGTTTTTTCTGTAAGTATAATCATAATTTCTAGTTTTTTTTTTACTTCCATCTAAGGAAGTTTTGTTTGCTTTTGGTGATGTGAATGAACTTGAAAGAAGGTGAAGAAAATGTGAAAGAAATGCACGAATTATTTGTTTTCGGGGTACCAACATAAGAGAAATCTCTCCAAATGGCTGTATGGTTTCTACTCGAATAACGTAGTGCTTTGTCCGTGTGACGCTTGATGGGGTCTTCCCATCGTATTAAACTTGAGGTGGCTCAATTTCATTATTTAGTTAAAGTATCCGTCCGTGGACCAAGAAAAAGAATGTTCCATCGAGAAAGAAGGACGTCGACAGGAAGAAGCCAAGGAGATAACGCTACGTCATCCATGACTGCCAGGCAGCGTTGTTGGAGGATAGTCCGAACCGGTAGCCGGTAATTCCATAGCCTGCAATAAATGCGCAAGTCCGTTGTTTCTCGAGGAGCGTACCCCCTGCCCCGACAGTCATTGTCGGAGCAGCCGTCAAAAAGATTTCGAACAATTCTGATCTCATTTGCTGCGCGGCGGAGCGACACTGTCAGCCATATATTCGATGCCCTTGACTTGCATGGAGTTTTACTTATCTACTCTCCGACTTATTAGGAGCCCACTTCAGTACTTTTGGGTGGAGCGTATCAGACATGCTCTGCTAGGCTCCCGATTGTCAGACTTGCATGGCTCCCGTGTGTGAGTTACATGTCCGTCCGGATCGTACAGTCAAGCCGCTGGTCCGATGTTCCGCCGAACTTTGGCCCAGCAGTTCCATTTATGAAAGCTGGAAATATTTTATTAACGAAAAATTACAAAAAGTATACCTTTGCTTCGCAGTTTTGCATGTTGGAGTGAAAGTGGACACCTTTCGATATGGACGGAGTTGCACAGAGCACGTCATCGAGCAAGAAGCCCCCGAGGGGTCTGAGGCTCTGCCTCCACGGTGAGCCCATTCTCATGAGACAATTTGAGTGAAAATTCGGGCTATCACATGGGATCCAAGCATCCAAGCATTCAGACAACGTAAGATAGATAGTACGGTGGAAGTATATTGAGAAAAAAGAGAGATTCGTGATTATTGTCCCGATTGGAAGCTCAAGTGCGAAAGAGCTCAAACTCTGACTGATTTGAGAACAAGGGTACAATGTCCCGAAGCGCAAGCTGGTGTGCAACAAAGACTCGATTCTCTAATAGTTACATGTACAACTTGCTACTGGTCGTTCGCCTAGTCACGAATCTGAAATCACACTGAAAGGTCTGCGGCTCTCTCAGCTTCCTAAGCATAGTCTTCATAGTCCGGCTTCCTCTAGCCATCGGCGCTGCTGATCAGACAGCCACAAACAACGAGCTTGCGCATTCGATCAAGCAAGAACGCAGTCGTCGATCTGGAAAGATCCCTTCACGGTCCAAGCGTTGCTGTCACCGCTGCGAGTGTACTTCAGGGTTCCGTAGGCATTGGCCAATCCGTAGGATCCTCCGACGATGGCGAGCTCCTGCTCGGAGTGGTCCTTGCCGTCGTCGCTGTAGGTCCAGACTCCACGGCAGTGGAGCTCAGCGTCGGCGAATCGTCCACCCTTGGCTCCGATGTCAGCGAACTTGATCGAGAAAACCTCCTCGGACTCGGTGTTCGAGGTGTAGAATGTGAGTCCTCCGACCTGGCCGTACACGGCGGAGTTCGCATTCACCTTCTCGGTGGCGACGTTGCTGTAGACGTAGCCATTGGCCTTCTCGCCATCTTCGTTGCTGTCCTTGGGTCCGAAGGACCTGATTTCATTGCCAGGCGCTATCTGTTCCACGAACTGGAATTCGAAATTCGCTGCCTCGATGCAGACGGCTCCCAGCATCACGCAGCCGGCGACCAGGAGCAGCATGTTGGCACGGGCCATGGTGAGAACTCGGTGCGTCTTTACAACAGATCCTGCGAACACCACACCGATTCATGAGCAACACTTCCGACCTCCCTGAGCTGGAACGAAATCAATCTACTCACTGCCACTACTGCTCCTAACCTCATGCATCTAATGCTCGAAGTCACTATCTCTAGCAACAGCGATCGGCATGCAAACTCCTCGATCCCCATCGAGCACCAGAGGCAGAACAGATCGAGCTGCCAGCTTACTCTGAGAGTCGGGATTCGCGTACTCGTTGATAGCTCGAGACAGAGTGATGGTGGTGAGCTCTCCTCTCAGCGACGGCGATTTATACTGGCCTTGATTTCAGTCGGAACCGTCCCACGTCCCATGCTATGCACGTGCTCTCACTCAGGTCTCGGCAGCAGTCATTAAATTTTACCTCAGTTAAACCCCCCGTACACGTAACTCATACCAACCCATACGGTCATGACTACGGATTTATTATGCAATAGATGCGTCAATAATTAGGGGGCCCAAGTCAATCGCAAAAGGATCGGAGGAGCACGAGACAAAACGGTTAGTACCTCCTACACCACCTGGTATCCTAGGTCGCAACTATATGGCCAGATCTATCCAGAAACAACGACGTTTGAGGTTTTTTCATTGATCTCCATGGCACTGGATATTGTTCCCCTTTAGCAATTAAAAATATGCGTTGTTCGACAAAGCCTATACAATGAATTGTACAAATGATACCAAGATTAAATGATTAACCTATGAATGAAATGAAATGAAATAACCTAGACAACGAGTTGTACAACTTCATGATACCAAGATATTTTTTCTAGGTATCTCGGTTATGAGTCTAGTTTGAAATAACCTAGACAATTTGTTGTACGAAATGATACCAAGATATTTTTCCTTCGTATCTTGGTGATGAAATCTAGCGTGAAATAACTTAGAAAAATTGTTGTACGAAATGATACCAAGATATCTTTTCTTCGTTTCGTATCTTGGTGATGAAATCTAGCGCGAAATAACCTAGAAAATGAGTTGTATGAAATGATACCAAGATATTTTTCTTCGTATCTTGGTGATGAAATCTAGTGTGAAATAACCTAGAAAATCAGTTGTACGAAATGATACAAAAATATATTTTCTTGGTATAGCTTTTATCATTTCTTCGGTCACGTTTCTAAATCCCAAGATTGTAATGTGTTTAGTCTTGATCCTAGATGAACCAAGAAATGAAGTATATGGATACTTTTGTAGAAGAATGTCCTGGCCTTCTGCTTGTACCTTTAATGTGTAACTTGTATAAGATTTCCAAAATTAGCGTAGTAAAATTATAAATTCTCCTTATCATAAGTTATTTGCTTAATTTCATTCTAGGTGAAGTATAAATCATCACCATGAATTATTAAGCTCGAACATCCCAATTGAAAACCAATTATAAATATTCATCGCGGCGAAAGATTTAAACAAATGGACCTAGAATTAGTACTAATTAGTAACACAGAATATTGTACTAATCAATGAAATTAAATTATAATATAGAGAAAATCATAAGTTGAAAACCAAAATGCTGTAGGGAAAGAGTTTGACAGCCCACACACTAATTCTACATAAGGGACCTGTTACTTTTCGAGAATTGGAAGAGAATCGCCATTGGTAATCACTGCTTCTCATTATCCGAGATTTCATGGGCCCGACGAGAAATGAGAAAGTGTAACCCCTGCAAGTTCGTGAATCTTAAATCTTCAGTCCACGCCGATCATGTAAGTTCCATTCATTTACCCATAAACTGTAGTCTGAATCTCTAAGCTAAATTGTCTGATTCAAGAACACTTACCCTAAGAAACATTTTCTATTTCAGTGAAGCAATGGGTTGGAAAATTTTCGTAGATATTGGTTGAATTTATGAAATTTGGGATAGATCTTTCAATTGTGCGCGATCCAAAATGTCAAACCCGCGCAGTAGTGACAATTTTAAATAAAATAAATAATAACCTTTTTATTAGAAGATGAATCAAACGCCCAAGTCCTGACGTTCACGCATAGTAGAGTTTCGAACCTATGGAAAATCATGATAGATTTCCAAGCGAGAAAAATGACAGGTTTTATTTTTTAAGTAACCTAGTGATCTCAGTCGTAATCAAAATATGTTCAAATTAGATAAAAAGTTTTATTAAAGTTACAGCTCGTGGCATATTCGAATTTAGACATTGACCTGCATTCATGAACATTTCGCTTAATATTCATCCCAACAATAATCATATCTCCAAAATTATACTTTGGGTTATTCTTGATATATTCATGCTCTTGACGAAACCAGATCAGTCTGATTTAATCTCAAACTGAAATTACCGTCCAAATAACTTGCGGGTTGATTGTTTCGGAACCTTTGCCTGCAATCCTCTGATCAGAAATAAGCTCAAATTGTTGTTTCAAGAACTTCCCATGAAGAATCAAAGTGTACATTTCAAGAAAAAGAAGAGAAAATGAAGGATGTGGAAAAACTTTTTTTTGGTTTACTATATTATAGTACTTCTTCCAGTATGCCTTTGTCCTCAAGGACAAAGACATACTGTTGCTCTTCCTCTAATAAATATTTTCCATTTTTAGGGTAAGATGGGTTTTCTCTACACACGAGAGGGCAAAATATTTCCTTATTTTATTTTTTCCTATCTACAGATTGAATCTTACTCCCATTGAAGTAACAATTCTGTGAATTTATTGAATGTTATAGAATGTTTCAGAAGTTCAGGATAACGATTAGAACTTTATGTATCGTTTTAAGGGATTTATTGAAAGTTGATACAATACTTCACGCAAATTGACTGGAATAACCCGGGTCATGCCCAACCCAGAAATAATCTGACTCATCACACTGCTAGGTCCATACATTTCTAAACAGAAGAACAGTCCCAACCGCACAGTCTTAATTATTAGGCCACTATGAGCTTTAGATGTCCAACTGAATTCCCCACTTCAAAGGCTAGACTGTGAAAGACTTTGCAGTCAACATCTTCCTACACTAAACTAAACTCTAAACTGACAACCGCCTGTAGTAAACTACAGGAGGTTGTCAGTTATGCATAGACATCCCAACACTTAGCTTAAGTTGTACATCTGAAGCCTTTGGATAGAGGATGGTCGGACAGTTCACTTGTACTTCAGACCTAATCCTGTTGGAGTAGTCTCAGAACGTATTCGGTAATGTGCAGCTGATGGGCACGCCGTCCAGTTGAGAGCCTGCATGAGGAGGGTTTACTGTCAACTCTGAGGTCTCTGAAGGTCCTCTGGTCTTCTACTATGCATATTCGGATTAGCAGGCTCGAACGCAAGACTAAAAAAATAAAATACCTGGATGCTGCATGGACCCTTTTTTACAGAGTGCTTTTGATGATATGGAGAGGCCTCGATGTAAACATGGGCTCTATTGTCCAACGAATTGGATGCTTTTGTTGCGTTAAAGGGAACCTCCCGATAAATGAAATACATATCATCATGGTTCCAAGAACTATGTATTCAATTCACAACAAGTTTCCAGAGTACCCGGGATGGTACAAAATTAAACCTGGGTGCCAACGAATGAATGAGAGGGGATATTTTGAAAGTTGATAGGGTTTCAAAAGTCTCCTAGGCACTTTAGTTGCATGGGAACTAGAAAAGCTCGTTATGTTTTTGCCATCCTGTAAAGATTGCGACACATCAAATCAACAACCTGCTGCAAAATCTGTCGATTGTGGTCGAGCTTCGAGCAGGTAGACGAATGGTGCAATCTTCTGTCTCTAGGCACATAGCACTTTGAACTTTATGCATTTTAACAAAGGGAGTTGGTCACAATTCAAAATCAAAAGACATACCAAACCATATCAATGAAGTTCTGAGTATCTGAACTATTTTCATGATTCGTCCCGTTTGTGCTCAATCAGTTTTCTTATCTTCTGCGAAGCTTTTTGGGAACATGTGAGCCTCATGAACACTGTTACTGACAAGATGAATCATATGCTATCTACTGTCCAACCGAAATGCTCGTAATATACCCCCAAAAAGGCATCGCAATGAAATGTGGAAGCGTTCTAGTGATGGACGAAGTCATGAGGCAGTCGCAATCATGCAGGTGAGGATTCTGGTTCCCGCTCAGCGCCGCCGTGGTCCAGTCGACTCGTCCCATACTCTGCAGTCCAGATATATCGAACCCATGCAGCCCAGATCTTAACACGTGGGCCACGATGTCATTATCCAATGCTCAGATTGAGGTCAATGCGTGGCATCGAAGTTTGACTTCGGGCTCGTGGAGAAGCCGAGTGGCGAAAAGAAAACCTTGAATTCTCAAAACGAGTCTCGTCAGTACAGGGACTTGAGGTAAAATGATGGCACCCGCTATGGGAGCCTTCATCTTTTCAAAAAGTCCTGCGCATTCCTGATTATTGAACTTGCGGCTTTGCATTGTTGGCACTGAACCACAAAAGTACGTTGTGACAGAGTATCTCGAAAAGCAGTGGACCGTCGCCGCATAGACTTACTCTGTCGGAAATCACACAAATCTTTCCTACTCGTATTCACAGGAGTTATTCCACAGCAATTATTTATTTTGCCAGAGCCGCAAGTAGATCAGGCCTGTCCGAGATCATAAACTTCAGAGTCGTGTCAGCTATAGGGTTCACCGTTAGGCGTTCATGGCTTTGGCAACCACGAATTTTGATACTCGGACAACTCCCTGTCTGATCAGCTCTTCTCACAGATCGGTATAGTTCCCTTCCATGCAACAGGGGTGAGCGGGAACATCACAGAAGTTTATCTTCAGTTACACTGACATGCGAAGTGGCATATCATTCTCTGTTTTAGCCTCCAGAGGATATGTTACGCTGACGCAGCGGAAGCAGGTCAGTCTACTCTTCGGCATTGTAGCTAATGTCCCAGTGTGTGTGTCCTGGCCTCCTACAGACTTGGATCCACATTAACTTGGACTAGATTTGAAGCGCTCTTCGTGAGAGATATCCACGTGCTGCGTGCCATTTGGGTAGCACTTAAACTGCCCCTGTGGGCACCTGACTCCAACCTAGGATGCTTCTTTAAAATCGGTATTTGCTATAAGAGCCATTTTTGTATGTACCCCTAAACGCTTACATTTAGAAAGTCATGTCAACCTTTCAAATATAAGGAGAAAGGCTACCGACCATCATTTTACCGATTTGAGCTTTGAATCTACCGACTTCCTTCTATAACCTTTCTAACTTCAGGAGAGGAAGATGTACTTTGGTTTGAAATGAAAAGTATTAGGATGGTGAAAACGAGCAGCGTCAGCGATGACTTGCCTTTGAGAATCGTTTAATATTTCAGACCGACCAATAAGTAATGAAATTCTCCCACCCACAGAATTCTATCTTTTTGATGTCACGGAACCCTCGTGCTGGTGACATTTGTGGCTTAAGTATGGAGAAAGCTCGCGTGAGGAGCTTTTGTCAAGGATAAGGAGTCTTATTGAGAGGCACGTGCCCTCTGCCTCGAAAGATGCGAAGCAGTTAAGTAGTGGTACGAGAACTAGCGATACCTTGTTTGCAAGACTTCTCGAGTTCTTGGTTCCTCACTATTCATTAGACTAGTTTGGAGGCGATTATTTGTTGAGAAGGAAAGGATGGTAAGTTTGGGCAGCATTCAAATTCTCCCCAATCCGGTCCTACAAAAGTGGGCAATCTGTCTGAGCAACGTGTTCAATAGAAGTGAACATCGCACCATTTGAAATCTCGTTGTCTGTAAAACAATTCAGCTATTGAAGCGTTTGTATCCACAGCTTTCCTTCATGCGAGCTTTGTAAATAGTCACGACAGTCAATTTGGTGAAGATGACCAAACCGTGACATTGTTGCTAACTGAGTAGAAAGCTCTAAACTCAATGAGATTCTGCATTACCGGCCGATCCATGGAAATAGATATATAGAAATAAAATTCAAACAATAGTATTGTTACATACCTGAAGTTACCCTGAAGAAAAAGGAATAAAACTGGTTATGTCACCATGCACAAGCACCGCTGTCTGCACAGGACTAAGAGATTCAAGTGTCTGACTCCCCGTTTTGCAATGGCCGGTGTTCAAACGACATATACCTCGCACAGTGTTGCTGAGAGGGCACGGCGATCGAAGTTAAAGAACTAGGCATAATGAGATCTCGCTGGCCTCTAGTATCAGAATCTGGGCATAAGTGGAGAGAGTTTATTCATGAAGACAGGGAGCTTTAGAAATCTCCAAATTTGCGTCGAATTTGATCTTACAAATTTGGTTAGTTTCACTGAATACAAGTAAACATCTAACATACATACGTCATATTTTCCAAGTGGAAAAAATTCGATGATGGTTGAATTTCCATCAGGAATCACAAAAATACAGATCATAGAAGTAAAAACAAATCCTAAGTGCAAAACAGAACACCACACACACGTCGATAGTGTTGAGAGATTTTGTGTATATCGATTCTGCTCCCCCATATTCCCCCCCACCCACCCCACATTATGGTCGACAGCCTGAAAGAGCCTAGAATTAAAATTTGTGGAATAAAAACCGATCACACACACCACCTTCCACCCCCCATCAAATCTTTCTCCATCCTCATTCTTCCGCTCCTCTGCTAAAAGTATTTCTGGTCTGAGACACAATGCGAGACAAAAGGGAGAAGGTGCAGTATGGGCACATCACAACTCTAGCCTAGGGTCTCACAAATTTTCCTCGGATTTCTACTTTATTCCAAGTGGATAGTATACTACTGAGAGTACTTCACCCGTACGATGGTAAATACTAAGTGATGCGGAGGCAAGGTTTGATGTTGCAGGATCCTTACTATCTGTACGGTACTTCTAGCCCATTATGTAATGGGCTAGAAGTACCTCAAGACTTCACGAGTGGATATGACCCGAGCGTTAATGTATATTATATTGGAAAGCTGTCGTACGAAGAACCTGTCCCTAACTTATGGGGTGATATCGATGTCCTGCTTTTCCGGGAAGATGATGTGTACTAGCTCCTCCGTTTGAGCGAAATAATTGGCAGCTGCGAAGCACGGACAAAGCGTGGGATCGTGGACGATGATATCGGGTGTATAAAGAGCCAGGAAGAAGAAGCTCAACTCACCAGTTTGACGTGAGCTCAATTCACGATCGGCCGAGCAGACAGCACTCGAGTTGTGCCTTCTCTCAGAACCGTGAGTGCTCCTCTTCTGTCCCCACTGAACAAAGATAGATCCAGCAGCTCGTACGAGGCAATACTCTCCTAAGGCTTGGGGCTTCGACATGAACATCGACAGCCTGGTCTTAGCAGTCGGGCTTCAGCACTCTTACAGCTGCTGCTGTGAACCTCGAACGTTATGTTTCCAGTGGCATGGTTTCGTTAGCTTTTTTTCGTCGCTTAATCAAATCCAGTTTAGAGAGTATCTGCTAGGAGTCATTGGCCGGGATGTTGTCCATTCTGAGTAAGATGTTGCGGTTATGTACCAGTTGTATCGGGAACCAGATCCACAAATTGAGCTAGAGTATGATCTGTCCTGAGTAGATCTCTTCTGAAGTGAGGCGCGGTGATTGAACTAGTCGATTTTGAAGTGTGACATGGAGTTTTTAATCGTTCAATTATGTTGTTGCAGACGCATTTCTGCTGAAACGTTCTCGCCATGGCTCGCGCTACAACGATGCTCCTGGTGCTCGTCAGCTGCGCAGTCTTTGCAACTGCCGTGTACGCTGATTGTTCCGGCACGAGGGTCATGAGCTTCCAGTTCTTCGAGCAGTTCGAGAAAGACAAGTTGGCCTTCAGTCCGTCCAGCCAGCAGAACGGACTCACAGGTAATGGCTATGTCTACGACAACCCCTGCACCAAGACCTACGACCCCAAATCTGAGATTTACGGCTTCACCGGCGGCATGTTCTTCTACTACACCGCCAAGCAAGTCGGGGAGATTTCCACCATCTACTTCAACGACATCGGTGAGAAGGGAGGCACCTTCGCCGAAGCCGAAATCCACTTGCGCGGAGTCTGGAACCTCGATGCCGAAGGCAAGGACCTTCCAGTCCAGGAGCTGTCCATTGTAGGAGGAACCAAAGGATTATCTGGCGCATACGGATCCATCCACTACACTCAGGTTGGCGAGAGCACTTGGTTGGTTCAGGGCAAGGTGTACGTCGACGTGCCCGAGTCCAACGCCCACATCGCCCAGGTCACATCTCTGTGAATTCTGTTTCAGCGGACTCGCGAAACGGAGTAGCTAGTTGGTGCCGCCGGGTGGAGCCATTCCACAGCAGCGAGCAGGCTAGCTAGCTAGACTTGGGAGTTGAAGATCAGATCTTGTTTTCTGTTGCGATGCTGAATTGAGCTGCAGAGCTTATGAAATGCTAGAATTCGTGATGATAGCGAGCTGTACAAGTAGGTGGAGACTTTTTTTCGATGCTGCAAAGCAGCTTGCACATCGCTGACCTATGTATAGCAGTGCAGTACGGGTCACGAGCGCCTGAGCTCTAATCTTGCAATAATCTCACGTTTCGTTTTCTTCAGCCCATATTCCACGCTCTTATATCCTCGCATTCTTTTTGTCTCCCATGATTCTCGATGTCCAAGCACCTGAATGAATCGGCCTCGACGTCCCTGGTTTGCCTCATAATATGTGGATTCTGAGTCACGAGATGGACCGCCAGACGGAGCTCTATCGCTCTTTGCATGCGTCCCACAAATCTCCATCCCTCCCCCTCCCCCTCCCCCCTCCCCTCGCTGGCTTCATCGTAACTTCAACGAGCTCGAACATCGAGTAATTTCAGCATCCTCTGTCAGCTCGTCTCCAGCTGCGTTTCACCTCGTTGACCGAGGAGCCGGTATCTGGAAGTCAGTTGACTAAACTCTGAACCACGTCCTACTAACTGAATCCCACAGCGTCTGCATGCCGCGTAAAGTCCCGAAAGCCCTCTGTTGAATGGTGAGGTGAATTCGGTAATTACCAGGGCTCACAATAAGTACGGAAGAAATTTTTGCCGGGGACATTGATTGCACACTCGAGATTACTCCTGTCCTTATCTGTCCTTTTGCGACAAATCTCTGGGCAGGCCTTACGGACAAGGATTTTGTGGAAATTCCGCAGTCCTTTGAGGAGACCAGATCTCATACGGACAGCAGGTCCATTGGAACTGCGCAAGCGAGTCGCCGCTTTCCTTGGAAACCCCTGCTGTCCTCAGGAAGCTGATTTCACACGTATGTCCATAGGGTCTAATTTAATCTAATGTCAAAGGAATGTTTATCAAGATGCTTTTCATTAACTGTGATGCTCGTTACAGGATCCGCGAAACAGGGGACTCAACTGTAAACGAAACAGCCATTGAGACGCTATTATCTCTACTCGGAGATTGAGTAGAAGATTGAGTTCGAACGCGGTTATTTCATAAATGTTCAAATTGTTAATTGATTTTGTGCAAGTGTTGATTTTCTATTACTTCAATTTTTACATTTGGTCTTCAACCTGTCATTCTATTGCTTTTTCAAGCTCATTTTCATTTGGACAAGAGATAACATGGAGAGAACACAGAGTATGACATCATAATTTTTGTTAACATTATAAATAATATTAACAAATCTATTGCACAAGACCAGTGGTGGCTAGACTGTGCACTTGGACACAATAAGAGTTTAAGCTCACGAGGGTAGATAAACATAACAACGCTTGAATCTCGAATTTGAATCGGTTCAAATATAACAACACTCGGTAGAATTCATGTAAGCCTTGACGGAGTCCTCCAATCCATTTTCTTATCTACTATTTCTCACGACAGGATTCATGAGAGTAGAAATATTTGCGATGCTCATCAATGATGAGCATGATGAGTCATCATGCTTGCATATTATCTTAGTTCAAGACTCCATCAGTCAGATTCTTGTGGTAGCGATGGAGTGTTGAACCTACCGGATCATAGATAATTTCATGATACTCACGTACTTTTTTGGAATTGAGTGTTGACCCTACCGTCTCTCAATGGATGTCATTGATACCGTTTGGACTGGACTGAAGTAAGTTCCTCCCTTTTGTAAAAAGGTGTCCCGGTGAAAAGAGTGAAAGTTGACATTGAGGAAATAAGTGAATATATCCAAAATAAATGTGCACTCTGGTTCAGTAGTAACTTTCTTTATCGCCTTCATTCGTCTGCAGCAAAAATTATCTTTAATATTTAATTGAGTCCATGACCCTTCAAAATCTGCAAATCAATGTCGGCTATCATCTCCTCCATTTGGTAACTTGGAGATGAGATCTTTCGCTAGAGGCATCTTCAGCAAGTCTTCCGGATATCAGTCTATAATGAGCACAGACTGACCTTAGATATGAGTATATAATTCCGGCTACTATTCTGATGAAATCTTGAAGCTCATTCTACACATAGGCAGTCACAATGCTTCAGAAAGATTGAGAAAATCAGCAGAGAAAATCCAGATATCCTATACACTGCATCTGATTCCCATTGGCTCTGCCCAGACTGCAAGATCCTTCTAATTAGGTCTATAATCACACAACGGTGATGATGGTCTTCTCCATGTAACGATGACTCCTTCATGGTAGGCATTCAACGGCCCAAGGCCCAGTTTCTTGTCGTTATCTGTTTAGTAAAGCTGTCCGTGATCTCTCGGCATTATATTATATCTTAAAATCCTCTGTCTCCGGGCGAGCATTTTGATTTTGTACCGTCTTCTGTGGTACCATTACTTGCTTCATTATGAAAGATGCACAGATACGCGCATGGTGACGAGCAGGCTGACTTCGCGCCCAGAACACATGCCAATGTGGGATTGCAACTGCAATATCCAGGTCTGAGATTGTCCACTACGAAGTGACAAGCGGCTCAAGCCATACAAATCATAAACTAGTGTCTCTGTAAGTAGCAGTATCAGTCCGGAAACAGGAGCAGCGTTTATTCATGTAGATAAAGGATTGGTGAGCATTAGTTATACCTCCATGCAGTAGTTATACCTCCTCGTACTGGTAGAATCTGCCTGAAAGCGAGGAGCAGAGTTGATCGCCCGTGAACAATTCGTCAATTTCAAACATTTTTCGCGATCAAATTACTCGAACCCCTGGTTTCAAATCCGAATTCGTCATACAAGTAGATTATTGGCCCTCATAAGCTCAAAGGAAGATCGAATTTACATTCAATTCCAACACAGCATGTAAAATATTTTCAGTTTTTAGCTCATGTGTACGCAACATTCAGAAAATCCGACACTGGGTACTGAAAAAGGGTTTTCCTTATTACATCCCGAATCTCAAGTGCTAATGTAGGCCAGACTTGCGCACTTGCGCTTGCACCTGAGCATGGTACCGAGAACCAAAAGATCTAAATATCCGTAACAAAGGCTTGAAGAGTAGCCAAAGTTTGTGTGCAAACAACGTATCCCGCAAGGATTGGCTACCCAAACATCTCGCAGTCAGCACTTCAAACAGAGCTTCATGACAGAGTGAATTCTATCACTCAAAGCCTGAATGATGCCTCCACTCTCCATGTGATGGCATTCAATTTCGTGAAGGTAAGCGTGCCGTAGGCATTGTCAAGTCCGTGGGTTCCTCCAATGATAGCAAGCTCCTGAGTGTCGAGGTCTTTCCCTGATGCAGAGACCCAAACACCACGAACATGCAGTTCCGCGTTAGGATACAAGCTGGTCGGTGAGAATTTGATGGTATTGACCTCCTCCACAGTATCTTCGGAAGTGTAGTAATACCAGCCACTGACAGTCCCCAACGCCAAACACTTGGGGCTTGAACACAAGGTGGCGGAGTTCTCGTAGATATAACCATTTCCCATCTGCCCATCGTTGCTGGACTTGTCCTTGGCCTGGAAAACGAGCAGTTCATCGTTGGAGTTGACTTGCTCGTAAAATTGCAGTTTGACGGTTTCAGCCTGCACGGTGCAGACGGCTGCCACCGTCAAGAAGCCAGCGATCAGGAGGAGAACACTTGCACGAGCCATGGTCAGGCAGAGGAGGAAGAAATCTGTCAAACTTGTGCAGCGAAAGACAATTGCTCTGATGGTGACACCAGGAAGGCGAAGTCGAAGTAGTGACTCTTCGCTCTTCATGTCATCCATTTATACCCCATGGCAGCAGAACGTTCATAAGGTAGCATCGTTCGTAAGACGTATTCTTTTCATGTAAAAGCGATGTATTATGAGGGTGTAAAAGCTCCTGACCACCTGCTCCGTAAATTGTGTAAAATACTCTGTTGCTACTGTATCTTACCAGGTAGGTAAAAGTACGATGTCACTGAGGTGCAATCAAACATCTGCACGTAACCGACTGGCTTTACACTTTAGTGAAAGCTATTGTCATCACTCCAAGTTAACTGAGAGAATCAATGAGATGAGGTAAGGAAGCTCATGCTGCTGTAGGTGTGATCGCCAATAGTCGCATCTGTCTGAGTCTGGATATAGATAACGAAGATGTACGGGTATATCCAGATACAGAATATAAGTCTGAATACTTTGATTGGAAACCTGAGCCTGGGAAAGAGATATCCCAGTGCAATATGCCTTTTGTTTGTTTTCTTTGAGAATTCTGCAGTGCTTCGATAGAGTAAGACATTAATGGGATCTCACAGGAAGGCAGGAAACATACTTTTTCTGTTTTTCTCCATCCATCCGTAATTATTGACTTTGTTGTGGATGAAAATGATCCGTCGGTCATTCAGCTCCCTCTAGAGTGGGAAAAGCTCTTGAGACAGGTAGGGCAGAAGTAGACATCTATGGCTAAAGGTAAAATTATAGCTCTGTCAGACCAGAGGGTCCCACGGCGTCCACCCCAGAATCTTCTCAGCGTGAGTCTCTTTTGCAGAATATTGGATTATTAGCCAGATGCTGGACGGTACTAGAGCATGCACGGATCTCACATGATCGGGTCGAGATCACTCGCGAGACTCACGTATATATACCCCAGTGCAAGGTGTTGACTTCACCTACTCACTGAACTCGACCTCACTCTGCAGCAGAACGAAATTCGTCGAAGTTTGCCAGTGAGTGATCGGGGCTTGACCGCCCTTCTGCCTTCTGCGAAAAAACCTGCCTCAGTTCATCTACTTCAAAATGTCTCCTGTGCACAGCTTCTCTACCATATACATCTCCCTTCGTTTTTAAAATCGTAGAGACAAGGCACCATGATCCGCTGTCATCAGATCAACAGCATGTCCAGGATGATAATTTCCTTCGAGTCCCTTTGAATGTGCTTCCGTCATCAGTCAGTGCAAGATTTTGTCTCTCTGTATGCAACAGGACACCTAACGATTGCCTTATGGACTGACTCGAAGCAATTTTCTTCGTCGATGCAGGGACGTCCTTTGCAACTTTAACCATGGCCCGCGCTACATCCATCATCGGCGTGCTCTTGGGCTGCGTCATGCTCGCAGCCGCCGTCAGCGCCAGCGATAGTGTTAACAAGTACCATTTCCAGTTCTTCCAGCAACCCCGTGAATCGGTTCTGGTGTTCAAGCCAGATTCAGACCAAGGTACGAATGGATACACTGGAAGGGGATACACATTCGACTACAAAACCACACTGACCTACGAACCCGATTCCACACCCGCTGGTTATGTCGACGGTATGGTCGTCTACACTGGTCCCAACAGAGGTATAGAGACTTCCACCATCTTCTTCAAAGACATCGGCGAAGTGGGAGGCATGTTCGCGAACGGCGAGATCTCGCTCAGTGGTCTGTGGAAGGATGAAGAGAGCCGCCAGGAATTGGCCATCGTCGGTGGAGTCGGCAACTTCGCTGGTGCTTACGGCAAAGTCGTCTACACCCAGGTCGGACCGACTCTGTATCTGGTGCAAGGGGAGATTCTCATCGACGCCCAAGGCAATGATTTGCAAGCCCGCAAGAACTGAATCTCAATTACAGCCAAGGGCCAACTGCAGCATTCATTCGAATAGGAGTAGCTAGCAAATACAGCTCTGCGCCTTTAGCTGTAGTCAGCCTTTGAGACTTCGAATCGTGCGCACGTTGTGTTGGCGCGCGCTGGTTTTCCTAGTGTTTAAGCACAGTACTAATCTCGAAGGAATACCACCAGTCCTTTTTTCCAATGCCGATGAATCCAATCTTTTAATAAACTCCATATTTTCCTCTATGATCTGGTTCAAGCGTTGTTCAATTATACAATATCAAAACTCCAATGTTCCATTTCGTGACTCTTGTATCAATGGATGCAACACAATGAGTAGCTAACAATAGAACAGAGACAAAAATCGGCCACGTGCTGGAGACACTTGAACCTGAAGTTGACGTGAAATGCAGAATTCACTCCATGCTGTAAAAGTCAATTTCACATCAGCTTAAAAGATCATCGACCCTCGTGTTAAAGTACGAGCCAAGTTTGGTTCTAGCCTCAAAAAGAGAGAAAAACAAAAACAATTTACCCTCATCTGTCTCAAGTTTGTTCTCGCGACCCGAAGATAATTTCTACATTCACAGTCTGCTTCGGATATGGAGATACTTTGCTTTAGTGTAGTCTTGAAATGTTCTCAGTCTACACACGTGTAGAATGTACTATGTGAATCCTTTCCTGTCGACCTTACAGCATAGTGGCTGCTGTCGAAATTTAGTCAACATATACTTCATGGTAAACGTACAGACGACAGGATCTCATTGCGTGGAATTTCTTGGTGTTGGACAGGAAGATAGGAACTACCTGAACCTCTGATAATAAAAGCAAACCTTTCAAATCTTATCATTAATATGTTACAAGTTATAATCCAGCATTACAACTGCCAAGATCAGGTTGTCGAACAATATATGAGTCTCTAAGAGCAATCAGTCCTGTAAGAAACCTCTGTGCAGTTTACATCTTGCCTAACATGATGGGTGCCCTCAAAGGATTTCCTTGGTGCCTGATTTGCTAGATTGGAAATATTAATTTCTACGCTCAGACGTCGATCTTCTCGATCGACCTTAGTTGTAACTGTGGAGTCGTCAATGAAGAGCTTAATTGTCTGAGAATGTTGAATCAAGTTTGAATTCAGTTTCATTTTTCCATAAAAGCTGAACTGCAGTTGAGAAGCATAGCTATTACATTATCCAGAATAAGAAATCTGTCCCAGTTATTCGAAACAGGGGGCAAATATGGTTAGATTATTTCTACGGCGATATACTGTGATTTCTTTGAGTTTTATTCGGTATGTCCCATGCTCTGTGACGATTTTAAGCTCATACAAAGAACCAATATTCAGGTCAGAAGCTCTCTAAGGAAGAAATTTTCCTTTCGAAAATCCCAAAAAAAGCCTGTCACAATCAGAATAATGTCGATACACTTCAGAAAGCGTGATTCATGCTACCAACAACGACAACTTTCCAGATACATGAACCTCGTAGTATTCTCTCAAAGAAGTGGCACTCATGATGAGCATCAGCAGGTCGATCAGTGCCCTGTCGACCCGCAGATCGATTATGAGATGCTTGATTGGCGAACTTCTTTGGGATCCGTGTCTCCTGTGGATCTAATTATATCCATTTTTTTCTGAGTAGACTGATATGACTTGCAACAACTCTCTCAATGCCTGTCTAGAAAGGGCAGTCATTCATCATCATGAATTCCTCGGTTTCCAGTCCCGATCCACGTGTCAAACTCTACATTTTTCGATGTCATCCTCCACCACTCTACAGCACCGGCCTGGCCATCCTCCTCGTCTAGTGGAATAAGAGAGCCAAATCAGCTTATCAAACATATTCAGGTCCTCCGTGCATGTCTCAGGGTCACTTTTTACAGTAATACTGTGTACGTAGATGAGAACCATGCACGTGCATGGCTCAGTAATTTCTGCACCATCTGACTTTTACCGTTACCCCACCATGAGCGTCAACGCGGACTGTAAACCTTTAGATATGTACGGCTAGCTTCACACATCCGAGTGAAAAGAACATCTTTTGTAGCTTTTGACAGAGGTGATACACGAATTAGTTATAGGTATACCTTTGCAGCTTTTGTCTGCCAAGGATTCCATACAAAAGCTGCAAAGGTATTCAAGACCAAATCCACAGTTTTGACGGCCCCACTCACATTTTCCAAAAAATCATAGAGCTGTGAATTATTCTCATCCAAGTAATAGTGCCCCTCCAAGAAAACGTGAGCGACTCCACTGCCTCAGACATTGGGTATAAAGACGCCAAGTGAAGGAGGCGACTTCAGCAGCTCCCCCCACTCAATCTTCAGCAGTCGAGAATTCCATCAGTTATCGTCAGCTTGTGAGTGTTCTATTCTTCATTCAGTCATACTTCTTCCCATGGCTTGATTCTTTCACTTTTTCAATGCAAACGTTCAAACGTTCGATCACTGCATCTTTAGACAAATGATCTCATAATTCTCCTGAGCAGTCTCTAACGGCATTCTGAGTCCCTCTGCATCTTGCTATCTACACAAGACTATTTACCTGATACTGATCCGTAAGGGTATGGAACGCATCGTTTCGAAGTCAGAACGTCAAGGCATGGGAGCTAACAGAGTTGATATATGATCTGATGGATACCCAGCTCAGTTTTTCAGAGTTCAGTTCAGTGTTGAAGTAGGAAACTTGGCAATTAGAGGATCATGTCAACAAAATCTAAACGATAATCTTTTATGCATACGTAAATACTCACCTAGCTTCTACAGACTCCCTGCGATCAACCCTGGCTGACGATGCTTGTTGAGTGTAACGTAAGAACTCTTTCATCTGAATTAGATTTTGAGCTGTTTTGCACAGTACGTCTGATGCTCTGAAATGTTTTTGCTTGTTATGTCACTTTTGCAGCTGACTTGCTCTAAAACTCAGTGGCAACCATGGCCCGTTCCATCAACATGCTCCTCATGCTCGTCGGATGCGTGATTCTAGCAACCGCAGTCCTAGCTGAGGACTCGGTCTCCAAGAAGATCGAAATGCAATTCTTCGAGCATGACGGAAGAGATGTCTTGGTATTCGAATGCATGGATAAAGAGTTATGTCCCGCCGTAGAGTCGACAATGAACACTGGACAGGGACATATCTACAACAACAAGGTCACCGCCACCTATGACCCCGAATCCGAGCAAATGGGTACAGTCTCCGGGTTGTACTTCGCCACCTACCCCAAGAAGGTCACAGAGGTGTCCAGCGTCAAGGTTGGGGATACCTCTCTCATTCTCCGCGGTCGCTGGAGTTTGGACACCCAGGGCAACGATCTGCCCCAGCAAGAACTAGCCATCGTGGGTGGAACCAAAGGATACGCTGGTGCATACGGTACATTGAAGTACACCAAGGTTGGCTCAAAGACCTGGTTGGTGCAAGCTTTGTTTTACATCGACTTATCGAAGGTCCCAACTCAGGCCTAAAATTTCCATGCACGCATGAAGAGCTTGTGTGAACAGGAATGGCTAGCTCATGATCTCATGCTCTTTGCTAGCCTTAAGTACGGTCCTAGTGTGCACTAAAGGTTCAGCAGCCTATCGATATCCGATCAGTTTCTGTTGAATTTTGTATCACGATGGTTGAGAGCTGTACATGTAGGTAAAACCTAGCTTCTCGATGCTGCAACTTGGTTCGCACCTGCCAATTTATGTACTGTGCGGATTTCGGCTGCATGAACTCTTGGTTTCTAATAAAATCACGGATTCTTCAATCCCTTCCAGTCACAACAGTGTCCGATCTATACAATTTGAAACCACGTAAACCACTAAAGTCCTGAATCCAACATATATTACAATGTGATCATTATTGATCCTCTTCTGAAATTGTAGTGGAAATTTTTAACGTGCAAAATGTTGAGCTCTTTACACATTGGGACATTCTGCGATTTGAAGTTTCTTCATTCAACTCTCGTACCTACACAGGAGACTCCTGAATTTACACAACACTTCCCCATATGACGGGTCCTTGGGCTCTTATACTCATGAATGTCTTAAGTCTATCAAGGTTCGCAGTATGCAAACATTGAATAATACAAAATCTGTGATTCACCAACAGCTAGCTCTCTACTTCAATTGAGATCGTATGTCAATCGAAAACGAAAGGAATTTTTTCATTTCTGCATAAGGACGAGCAGCCGCCTCTGGCAAAGTTCGGGAGCTGGGAGGCAGTAGTAGAATATTTTAAAAGTACATTCCATGCACACGAATAAAATAAAAATCGGAGTGCCACTATGGAACCGCTTTTAACCTTAAATTGGTTTTCTATCCGTCTTACCATGATATTCAAGTGTCTAGCAGCTGTTGCTGCTCTATTCACAAGAAGTGCATGCTGGCGAGCTACAACTCGGTAGGAATTTTGCTTGACGAGATTATTTTGGTAAAGTTGCAGTGAAATGCACTAGATTGTTTTCCTAAACAATCACTAACCTAACAGTAAGTTACCGTCCCATCAGGGGAAGAAAACTGAAGCGTTTCTGAACTCAAGGTTCCATGATTTGAGCCTCTCAACCACCAACTACCACAACACCTAATTTGCCAGAGCAGATCTACTCTCAGGTGCCCCAACGATGTTCACTATAGCTTAGATTTGGAATCGGGGATATATGTGACAAACCACGCTGCAAAACATTCTTGACTCTGGCCTTGGTGAGCCACCAATTTTCAAGAAGCAATCGTGAACATGAGAGTAATCTCGACATGGAGGCAATAATGTCGTTTACGAGTCTACTGATTCATTTCATCATACTTCTCCGCAGAGGAGGGGGGATCAGTGGGCATTTTTCTTCTCTGAAAGCTTACAACCTTCATCCGGATGAAGGATGTTTCCTCCGACACCCTTCATGCGAATTCATTCCTCCTTAGAATTCATAATCAAGGTTATTGCGAGCTGGATGACAAACTCCGGACAAAAGCTAATCTTCCGTTTGCGCTCTGCCACCACATCGGATAATAAAGTACAGTAAACATCCATCACTGACATCTGAATATTCCTTATCTCGACTGCTACACTATGACCCGTACATAATTGCAATAATTGGAGTCCGTATCTCATGGTTCTAGCTTACAGTGGATAGAGTTACTCTGTGGATAAAAGACACACATTGGTTAACTTTCCTCCACGCCACCAGTAGTTTTTTATTATCTCATCGGGAAAATCTGATTGATCCTCGACCTGCCATCTACTCTGCGGATGTTGGGCGTGGGGTCCAACTCTCCGACAGAAGAGTATGGGGAAGCACAGGTCGGCCTCAGACAGCCAGTAGGACAGAATCTGATTTTGGAAGAAAAGCAGCGACGACTCGTCGCAGTCAGCGACCGTCAGATTGCAGGTTGTGACTCGACAACAATAATCCAAGTCCACTTGTTGGCTACCACATAACACAGTCAGCTTTCAAGGTATGATGTTTTTTAAACCTGGGGACTGGTGACACCTGGCCTGGCAGGTCTTTCACTTTAATGTTCCAGGATTCTCAACACCCATACAGTAGCCTTTGTCCTGGTCTCCTTGGACCTTTGCATGTATGCAAACCTGCAACCATACCGAGAGCTTTGAATGTTCAGATATTTATGCACGGTTGTTACGAGAGCTGACATGACCACTGAAAAATCAGGCTACTTTGCGATGACTCTGGATTTCAACTGAAATTCATTTGAAACGTACACAGCGTCACAGGTCTCCCCAATGACATTCTACACCACGCAATCCGATATAATACATTTTCTGCGAATGAATATAGAACAACATGACTCTTGTGGTATAGAAACATGTCATCCTGACAAATTCCTCCATAAAAGAATCATTACCTATCACCAGAAAAGCTTGCGCACTCCAATGTAACAATCTTTCCAGAAGAAAATCATTTTTAAAAAGTGGTTTTCGCTGGTGTGTCCAAGTTTGAACACCGACCATTGACTCGAGGTTTATTGGAATCGAATTCACAACACCACAACATTGCTTTAGAGTGTTAGAGGATGATTATCCTTCTGTCTTTGACTCTGCTTTTGAGTATCAATTTTCTCTTTGTTGAAGTGCTTTCATTCATTCTGACGAGAATTTAGAGAAAATTATCGAAGCACTCGTACATCTGCAAGTACATCTCCAGGTCATGATTTTGAACGTGAACGTGTCTCTCGTGATCTGACAAATCATTGACTTGAGGTCGGATTCTCGGCGGCAAGAGATGGTATTAGAGACATTAGAACTCTTCAAAAGAAAGCAACAACTCCGAAAATTTCGCAGTCAACCGACATTTGATCCGCTATCGTTCAAATCCAGTCCTGATATTTATTAAGGCCTTAGACTACACGAAGCATGTGTTGATTTCTGGGACCGATGACGACCCTTGCTATTTAGGCAAAACCACCGTTCGAGGTGATGTCCGTTGAGTCCGTGGAGTATCAGCTGCACTTGCTAGAGCATAAAATTTTCTTCAAACTTGCAGAGACTAACAGCTTTTCTGATTTCAACTTTTCTTAATTGCCTTCCAACGAAACGAATATTGGTATGTAGGCCCTTTCCAATCACTGACTGCAATTTAGCAATGATTTGTTTGCAAAGGTCTCACTTTCGATTTGAACTCAAAGCTATGTAGCACTTTTAGGATGGTTGCTTTTTGGCCCAGTCGGACTTTCGACCTCTACTTTTCTCTCTCTCTCTCTCTCTCTCTCTCTCTCTCATCCCCAACTGGAAATCTTCTAGAGCTGGTTCCATAAAGTTGACAGATATCCTTGAATTCAAACCAAGCATTATACTGCATCGCCACTTTACATTTGCATCGACAATCATATAAGCTATGATCAAATATTGAGAAAACATTGATCGTTTTCACTCTTAACATTCGTTTTGACAATCGAATGCATCCGTGTCGAGAAGCCAATGTCTTTGAATTTAAACTCCCTTGACGATGCTATCTGATGAATAGATTGAAGGAATAATGGTCGGGTATGACTAACCAATCTGCTGTCACTAGTGACATTCGTTTCGACAATCGAATACATCCGTGTATAGAAGCCAATTATATGAATTCAAACTCCCTATACGATGCCATTTGATGCATAGATTGAAGGAATAATGATCCTGTATGATTAACCAATCTCCTGTCACTAGTTACATTCGTTTCGACAATCGAATACATCCGTGTAGAGAAGCCAATCTTTTGAATTCGAACTCCCTAAACGATGCTATTTGATGCATAGATTGAAGGAATAATGGTCGGGTATGACCTACCAATCTCCTGTCACTAGTGACATTCGTTTCGACAATCGAATACATCCGTGTAGAGAAGCCAATCGTTTGAATTCGAATTCCCTAAACGATGCTATTTGATGCATAGATTGAAGGAATAATGGTCGGGTATGACCTACCAATCTCCTGTCACTAGTGACATTCGTTTCGACAATCGAATACATCCGTGTCGAGAAGCCAATCGTTTTGAATTCAAAGTCCCTAGACGATGCTATTTGATGCATAGATTGAAGGAATAATGGTCGGGCATGACTTACCAATCTCCTGTCACTCGTGACATTCGTTTCGACATTCGGATTATGTACATCCGTGTCGAGAAGCCAATCTCTTTGAATTCAAAGTCCCTAGACGATGCTATCTGATGCATAGATTGAAGAAATAATGGCTGGGCATTACTAGCCAATCTCTTATCTCTTGTCTCATTCCAATCACGAGTGTTTCAATTCTTTAAGACATGCCTATAGTATCGATCCTGAAAACTCGGGACTCCGCATCTACCTATGCTATTTCACCCCACTGATTACCAATATATAGCTCCTTCCACTACCACTCTGAATATGATGCTTTATGGTATCTAGCTGAGACACAGTTCAGAACAGCAAGTCCAGTGAATGCAAAAGAAATTTTCATCCATCAGGAAGAGTACGAATGTTATCAGAAGAATCGAGTACCAATCAGGACTCCACTTGATTGAACGTTGTATGACGTTTCGCATCATACTTTGAGACCGTTTGATTCTGTTGAACTTGAGAGAAATAGATGCATCAAAGTGATGAGTGGATCTGAATCTTATAGTGTCATTGAAATGTTTATTTCCTCCATATTTTCTCCAAACATCTACTTATTTTTCTTCATATAAAGCCTATAATTTGTCAGCACTCCCGTCACCGGGGTATTCTAAAGGGTTTATCACTATCAAAGATCATAATATATATTATAATCTATATTTTCTCCAGAGTTCTAAACATCCACTTAGAAATTGATGTACAAAGTGTGTCACAAGAAAGATCTGAAACAAATTTGTGACAAATTTATCACTCTCCAATATCAGACAGTTCCATAATAGTTTTGACTACTGACGTAGAACACGCATTCCCAGAATTGCAATAAGTTGCAGGGACTTCAGCAGTGGGAGAATGACTTACGGAGGAAGTGGAAGTTGCCTGTTGAACTCCCACTGCATGTGATGGTGTCAATGGACTGAATTCTCCTTTTATTGGTCGTCCTGCTGGTAACCTCCTGCGAACTGGATCAGTCGATGGAGCTAGTGGAACAGGGCGAAAGGGAGTAAAACCTTCTTGCTCAGCAGGCGGAACAACTGATGCTTGCTGATGGGGAGAGGTAGCTTCTCCAACTGCAAGAGGCATAAATCTGACAGATCTGCTTTCAAGAATCTTGTGAGTCCTTTCTCTGCACGCGAAATCCTTTGGCTGTAGTAGAATAGCCAAGGAAAACACATTCTATACTCTTGGGGTCTATCTTACCCCGATGGCCTTTCTCAGTATGACCAAAGGCAGCACATCCGAAAACTTGTAGATTCCGCAGATCCGGCTTCTGCCCATGCCAAAGTTCGTAAGGGGTTTTGTCGTTGGGTAGAGCCTTCGATGGAGATCTGTTATGCAAGTAAACGGTTGTATGGATGGCTTCGCCCCAATAGCCATGAGAGAGACCAGAATGTGTCAACATGGCAACAACAGAATCGATCAAAGTTCAATTCTTCCGTTCTGCTACTATGTTTTGTTCATGAGTATTAGGAATGGAAAACTGTCGTTGTATGCCGTGAAGTGTACAAAAATCAGTAAAAGCTCGAGATTTGTATTCAAGAGCATTATCTGATCGCAGGACCTTGATGCACTTGTTCAAGTAATTTTCAGCCATTGCTTTGAATTCCTGAAACTTGGCAAAGGCTTCAGACTTCTGTTTTATTAAATATAGATGCGTATATCGTGAAACATCATCGATGAATGTGATGAAGTACTTATAGTTCAAGAATGTTTGAGTTCTGAGAGGGCTACAAATATTTGTGTGTACTAGACAAAGAAGGTATTTAGCACGAGTGGCTCCTTTGCTGAGGAACTTTGCTCTTGTGGACTTCCCTACAGCACATGATGTGCAGAGAAGGAGAGTCTGAAAAGAACATTTCTCCAACCTTTCTACCATATGATGCTGCTTCATTTGCTGAATTCGCGGAAGACTCATATGGCCGAGCTTGAGATGCCATTGGTAAATGTCCAGCTCTTCGGTGTTGGAAGCCGAATAACAAACATCAGCAGGAACTGCAGGTGTGTTGAAAGAAATCGTTCCAAGCCTAAACAGGTTGTTGTAATTGATGCACTCAGCAATGACATTAGACTTCTTCCCCTTCAAGATGCATCAAGCTGGTTCAATGAGTAGACTACCTTCTTGCTGAACAAGCTGATGTATGGAAAAGAGATTCTTGTGGAGACGAGGAACGTGTAACACTTCATGTACTAGCCGTTCTTGTCCATCATTCAAGGAAATGAGTACATTACTTTTTCCCTGAATGAGTTGGCGACTGTCGTCATCCAGATTTACAAACTCCGCAGATGGGAGTTCAGTATATGTCACAAAAGTATTTCTGTTGTATGCCATGTGTTGAGTAGCACCAGAATCTACATACCAGGCTGGATCCATCCTGATGGATGTTAGAGCAGTGACATATAGCTGCTGGTGATCGTTTGGTGTAGAATGTGAAGAAGCACGGTCGTGTTTCTTCTTCCGGCACTCGCTGGCAAGATGATTTTTCTTCTTGCAGTAGAAACATTTCATCTTTTGCCTGGGAAAAGATGTCTTGGTAGGAGGTTCTGGTCGTGATGAAGAACCTGCCTCAGTGAAGTGTCTTGGATGCATCATCTTTGGCGCTTCGATGACGAGCGATGAATGGATGTTGATGGTCTTCTAACGAGTTAGTCAACACCGCCCGGGCCATGAGATTTTTAACATCCTATTCTTGCTTGCTCCCTGCGCTTGACTCTGGAGTTCTTGTTGTAGAACCCGGTGGAGTGCTTGACCTGACTTCGATCCGCTCTATCATGTCCATCAGTCCTTCTAGTTGAAGGATTAAACTGATTTTGCTCTTCCATGCATGGAAATGTTCCCCACTGAATCTGGGGAGGTCTTTCCATGCGAACCAGGTTGAAACCCCAGGAGAAATCATCTCCCTAAACTCGAACTAAACTCTGTCCTAAGCTTCGAGTTCTGCCGAAGTGAATCTTCACAAAAAAAAATCTTTGAACTCTGAACTCTAAACCCTAACGCTCTGATACCACATCAGAAGTGAGGCAATACAAGAAAGAGTCGAGAGACACAGGTACTGAGTACTGGAGAGCCCAACAACGCTTGACTTGGGTGCAGGTGAACAGCAGCTCATGCGCCCACGCAGATCTACCAACTATTGTACAATATTTCGGAATGTGACAAGCCTCTCCTGCGGATCGCGTGCCGGACAATTGTGGAGGTCTTCGAACGCAGGCATAAAAGTACTGAGTACTGGATAGCAGATTTTAGTTCTTGTTATACATAGTACCTGGATTGGGTTTAAGTACCCAATCCGAGGTGACAAAGGAAACTGGTATTTACACCCGCGTAGTGGGAAGGGTAGTGGTGTCTAATGATGACAAGGACACCTCAATAGTAGTGGGGGTAGTGGCATAGTGGGCTGCAGTCTAACAATGATTACACAAGAAGCAGCGTCGAAGGAATAGGGAGTAATCAGTATTCTAACAAGAAGTTACTAAAAAAGCAAGTTTGTAGTTCGTGAGTAAAATTTGAATACATATAAACTGTGAGGACAATCATAATTCAAAAAGTTAAGATTTCATCAACACAAACTAACTTAATTACTCATTTAAATATTGTACGTATGTTCCAAGTGGGAACAAGATCCATTTATCTAGCTTTGACAAAGAAATTTTTTTTCCCAAATGCTCAAGTGGTTTTCATATCATCTTCCTGCATAGTATCTACAGGGTACCTAAGAGCTTGGACTTTAGAATACAACTGTCCATAATAGAAAATTTATCAGTCTCAACCTAGATATTTATAATATGGATGAAAATATACATAGGAGATTTTACGGAATATTGATGGACTTCAATCTCTTAGCAGTTGGCATTCTCCGATTCTTGTTTCTTTTAACCTTTTTCCGATCAGATTCACAAACCTGATCAAAAGCCTAAGATCCGATTCGTCTCTCATCTTCAGATTCGGTCTACAATAGATGTTCTTACGTAGTAAAACCTATAGACATTGCTTCATAGACCTTCATGGCACTCCTGACTTTTTTTTGCCCAAGAACAACCCAGTTTAGTTGGGCTCGTGCCCTCGTGTTGCACTGTCTCCACAGTAACTTTTGCCTCATTCATCCCTGATATTTTCTTTCGACTTTCCTGTTAGTCTCCTTTTCCGAAGTTTAGTCATTCATATTCGCAAAATACATCTTGAATAAATCTAGATTTTGCCGCTGGAAAGCGTAGACTAAAAATTCGTCAAGTCTATTCAACAAAATTTCGCTAGTGTACATTCGCGGGGAAACCCAAGGTGTGATGGGAGGACTACAATTCAAGGATTCCCATAAATTCAATGTCCTAGTCGATCCTGATTTGAATGAGCGATTTATTCGTCATGACCGGACCGGATTATCATGGGCTCAGTAAAATATGTGCGTATCAGTTCAATCACAGTTAGAGATCGACCTCCTTGTTTGAGCACTGGATTAGTCACCTAATGGATCAAATAGATGCATGGAGAAAGTCCATGATATGAATAAAGCGAAACAGCTTCTTTCGATTGTCTGTATTTTCCTAGGCCTTCAGTTCGAGATTTTGACTGTTATCGAACAATGCAGCTACATTGGATCTGGTAAGTTGAAAATTTACCTGGTACTGGAAGTTTTCTTGAGCTCCCTGAACAAGCCTTTCTAACGAGCTGATACCATCTCCTAGTTAGAAAGGAAGTCAACTATAAGATCTCAAACTGCGATTACTGTATTCCGGATCTGAATGAATAATATGGTTTGTCAGTGGCTTCATAGGGCACGGCAGTGACTCTTGGTCCAAGCCGAACCTTCTCTTCTACGAGGGGAGGGGAGAGCTAAAGCTTAGAAAGGCATGATCTGAGTATATGAAAGCTAGTGATGCTGCTTATACTCTAAATTTGTTTTTGTATAAATATTCAAATCCATATCATGATATCCTCCGGAGCAGCTCGCTTCCTGACTACCCAAGTTTCAGTATGGTATGTTGTTATGTAGATTCTGTTCACAGGAAAACCAGTGTTCGAAGTCATTGCGAACTAAATTTTAGATCTTGCTTATTGTGGTTATTTGCTCCATATAATTCGATACTGTATATCGAACTTAGAAACTAGTTTATGAAGGTAGGAACGTCGGGTTTCAATATCGGGTATCGAAATATCGGGTCTTAGCTCAAGACTTCGAATTAAAATAGATCTAATCTTCTTCAATCATGATGGGTATTAAGCTTATTGTGATAAATTTTAGGAGAACTTTTATTACAATAAGTTCACTGGAACCTGTGCCCTCAAGGAGCTAAAACTGCTTCTAGAGACTGGCAGAGTGATAAGGCTTCCAGCTTGTTGTTCGACTTGCTTTCTCTAAGATGAGCACATGCTGTTCTCTTCCTGGAGCAATGACATCCTAATAACGGCGTTCGCGTTCAAGACTAGGCTTCCCAGTTCAGTGCTTAGAGTGTTGAAGCTGAGCAAGTAATAAAACGCGATAGCTATGAAGATTACCATTATCTTCCAGATATAGTACCTCTACATATTATACAATGGAATAAGCAATTTAGAGTAATACCTTTTCATCTGCGCTCATTCCTGAACGAAATTAGTGCAGTATACAAACTGTCATGTATGCTAGACTGCTTTCGGTTACATTGGCATTACTGCAGATTTCATGGTGTATGTAAAACTTCACACTTCCAACTGTGAGGTGAGGTCAACTTTTTTACTATCTCAGACGTGGATTGGGTTCAGTCCCTATGCAAATATGTTGTCAATCTCAGATTCGGCGTCTTCAAGGTCGACGAGGTTCATGAGGTTAGTTCTTAGGTGCATAACTCTAGTTTAATGCTAGCTTTATGCAAAGTATAAGATTCAACCAGATTCTGCATCATCTTAAGATTCTTCTTATATTCCAACCTTCAGTCTTCCATCCTGTCAACAGGCTTAGAGCCTTCCCTGCTTGCCTTCTCTCGATGGGATTGTCGGAGATGGCAAGCGTTGCAAGTCGTTCTACAAACATTCTCATGAGGGGCCTGTTTTCCTTCGCTTCAGCTAAATGAGCTACTGCACTGGCTGCTTCTATTCTGACCTTCTCCTCTTTGTCGTCAACAGCGGATAAATTGTCTGCGAGGTTTTGAAGAGCTCCGGGTACTGCTGCCATGATGACCTTATTTTCTTTCGCTGCTGCAAGGTGAGAAAACGCAAGCGCAGCTTCGTACCTGACCCTTACGGGCACGTCCACTGAAAGCAATTCTACAATCCTGGAGAGAGCAGTGGGGCCTGCCATCTTCGTCTTATTTTGTTCTGCGTAAGCCAGATGAGCGAATGCCCTTATGGCTTGCTCTCGAATCTTGTCGTCGAATTTCCTGCCCAACAATCCCACGAGGTTTTGGAGAGCCTGTGGATGTGATGCCATTTGAACCTTATTCTTCTTTACGGTAGATAAAAATGCAAACGCCGCTACTGCTTCGTATCGAACACCATCCGTCGTCTCTTCGTCGTCCGAGATTAGCTGCACCAAACGATTCAGAGCTTGGGGGAACGCCAGCATCTTCGCTCTGTTTTTGCAGTTTTCCTCCGAGTCGGATGCCAGAAAAGCAAAAGCTCCCACAGCCTCTTGCTGCAAAGCATCCGGCAGCTTCGTACTCATGATATCCACGAGTGTTTTCAGAGCGTCCGGAGTTTCGAGCATCTTGCCTTTGTTCTCTTCCTCACGAGCCAGACTGCGGAAAGCTCGCGCTGCCAAAATCCGGATCACCTGAGGCACACCGGTGCCCATCAAGCTAACGAGCCTCTTGAGGGCATCAGCATTCGCCATCTTCGCCTTGTTCTCCTTCGCCTCCGACAGATGGCAAAATGCTCTCAGAGCCTCCTCCTGAACCTCCCCATCCACCTGCTTCGCCAGCAGGCTCGTGATCTTCTCGAGAGCTCCCGGAAACGAGCCGATGGTCACCATGATGTGCCTGTTCTCCTGAGCGAGAAAGGCACACGCTCTCGCAGCTTGGTATTGAAGAGCTCGAGGTACTCCGACGGACAACAAGCCCACCAGCCTCTCGAGAGCGAGTGGATAGGCGACCATGTACACCTTATTCTCCCGTTCCTCGGCCAGACTTGCAAATGCTCTCACGGCCTGGACCCGCACATTGGCAGGGACCTCTCGAGAGAACAGTTTCACCAGCCTCTCGACGGCGTTGGGGAAGGCCGCCATCGCCACCTTGTTCTCCTTGGCGTGAGCGAGATTCGCGAAGGCCAGTGCAGATTTTCCCTGCAGCCTCTCGGTGGTGCCTGAATCTCTGGCTAGTAGATTCACCAGCTTCTCCAGAACTTCTTCCAGACTCTCGATCTGCGTGTTGATCTCATGCGATGTGGCCAAGTTGCCGAAGGCGATGGCGGCTTGGAAACGAAGAGGCTCCGGCACGTCGGCGGACAGCAGTCCCACCAGCCTCTGCACGGCGCATGGAATTCTCACCATAGCAGGAAGATTCTGATCTTTCCAGGTGAGGAGAGCGAAGGCCTTCACCGCCTCCTGCTGGGTGGGCTTCGGTATGTCCATGGCCATCAGGGCCACCAATCTCTCGAGGGCGTTCGGTATCTTCACCATCACCTCCATGTTCTCGTCTTTCGATGCCAGGCACGCGAAGGCGGCCGCAGCTTCGGTCTGCACTCGCTCGCTCACTCCGTCCGCCATCAGATCCACGAGCGTCACGAGGGTCCCGGGAATGGACATCACCTCGGCCTGAAAATCGGGCCGCTTCGCCAGAATGCCGAAGGCTCTCGCTGCCTCGAACAGCACGCTGTCCGTCACTTCCGTGGACATCAATCCCACCAGGCCTTGAAGAGCTGCAGTCAGGACATCCTTGATGTGAATTGTCACCACGCTATCTTCTTCCCTGGCCAGAAGGCTGAAGGCTTTGACGGCTTGCTTGTGCACACATTCATAAACTGGTCTGTTCATCAGTCTGACGAGATTGTGCAGAGCTTCCGGGTATACTGCCAGTGTCACTCTGTTCTCCTTGGAAGCAGCGAGGTTCGCGAACAACTCTGCTGCTCCCGATTGAACGCTCCTGGGAACACCCGGAGTCAAGAGCCTGACAACCCTTCCGAGGCCTTGGGGGATGTTTGCCATCCGCACCTGATTCTTGTCGCTCTCTGCTAATACGGCTAGAGTGGCTGCAGCCAGAGCTTGAAGGTTCTCGGGCTCTTTCAAGGACAACAGAGAGAAGAGACTCTCCATAGCGCCATCCAAGGCTCCCAGCTTCACCTTGTTTTCTTCTTTCTCGTGAATGAGATCGAAGAAGGCTCTGGCTGCTTGAATTTGAAGCCCCTCCTCCTTGCTGATGAGCGACCTCTCTTCGTTGAACATCAGACTTACCAGACTCTCGCCAGCTCCTTTGAAGGAGCCCAACCGATCCTGGTTCTCCTTTTCGGAAGCCAAGTTGACGAAGGCTTCGACAGCTTCGCATCTTATGCTGAGGAGAATGTTTTTTGACATCAGATTCACGATCCCTTCGAGAAATCCTTTGAAGTCCGCCAGTTTGACCTTCTCGGCCGTCGATAGGCCCCGGGTCAAATTGGACACAACTCTAGCCGCTTCGTATTGTAGACCTCGAGACGTATTGCCGATGGACAGATGCTCCACTACTCTCTCGAAAGCTTTTGGCTCGGCCCAAATAAGTTCCACATTTTCGATGTCCACGCTTAAATTTGCTAGCGCTCTTAGCGCTTGAGTCTTTGCCCCCAGCGCCACCCTCTTGGACAGAAGCGCAACCAGCCTCGTCAGAGCCTTTGGTACTCTGGCAATTTTAATTCTGGCCGGGTTCTCTTCCACATCTGGCCTCGCTAGGTTTGCCAATGCCTTGGCAGCTTCTTCTTGGACACTATGCCTTCCATCTCGAGAAATCCTACCAACAAGCCTCTCAAGGGCGTGTGGAACGATATACATTTTCAGAACATTGTCCCTACAGCCGGCTAAACTAGCAAACGCTCGTGCAGCTTCGCCTTGGATGCACTCAGGTACTTCTTCCGACATTAGTGCCACAAGCCTCTCCAAAGCTCCGGGAAACGACGCCATTATGATCATGTTCCCTTCTTTTTGAGCTAGGTTTGCAAATTCTTTTGCTGCATGCTCTGTTTGGCCAGTGTGCGACTTTTTTTCAGGATACACCAGTGAATCCACCAGCCATTGGAGAACAATCGGTGTCGCTTCGTAAACCACCAGCTGCGAGGCCTCCTCCCCTGCACAGATTGCTTTGAGTTATCCATTCCTCCATTCAGGACCTCCTGACAAATCCCGCTATTCGGCACTCTTGCTCAAACATTCATAGCAATGAAAGTTCACTATCCAGAGGAATGCACATGTCAAGAACCCTGGGACCTCTTCGATTACTATGAATCTGTAAGCAGACTGCATGTACTATGTAATTCACAACGTTTGAATGATAAAAGAAACATGTGGTTTTCAATAACTTTCGGGGAGGAGTCAAATAAATTGCCAGAGATAGGTTCAAATTCGATAAAGAGTTTACAAGGAGTGGATCTAGTAGAGAATGAAGTAAACATCAGGAACTTGAAGACGTCATCGGATGGTGCTTGGATCTGAGAGTTACCCATGGATCCAAAAGGAGGTCTTTCCGGGCTCGCAGGACATGACGAGTCCGTGCCCAAATCTTCCGCTATTATGGCAGATAGAGTTGCCTTCTCCTCGTGACCAGCCATTGACTCGGACGTCTGCACTATGGCTTGACGCCAATTCTGGCACTCAGTGTCACCTTCGTCCCACTCCAGAACATTGTCCAGCATGATGAGAGCTTCGTCATCTTGTCCTTCCTTAGCCAACTCGAGAGCTCTCTTCCGATATGCCCGGCGACGCTCTGAGCAAATGGCCTCCACACCTTGCAGGTGAAACTTCGTGAACAAACGCTCCCGTAGCTCGACGTCATCGCTTCTGATGGACACTCGCTGTTGATCAAAGGAGAATTCTCCTGTGTTGATGATAGTCCAGCGATCATATGTACAGTCGTCGGAGCCTTTCACAGGATCACACATGAGCTTGTTTGTGATAGGATCGACGAATTCGCTGTCTTCATTTGAATGTAATATGACCTTTGACTCCAGCTCCGGATTCGGTACCTGCATTACAAAAAACTCGATCTATTGATGCTAACCAATTTTTCCAAACCGTATTTCCGCTCTCTAATGAGTAATGCCAGGAACAGAAGCCAGAGCAAGCCATTCCAGCAGCTCCAATAGTATTACCGGTGATGAAAGCATCCATATTGATCTTGAAGAATTGCTACTGCTATGACTCTTCGTTCAGTATACTATGCATTATCAGAACAAAATCGGATTATGTTGCTGACAATAGTGCGGTTACTCGCCCTAGCCGACTCCAGATTCAAGCAAAATCACATCACCATTTGCTGTGTATTTGTCAGGCCTAGGCAGTCATGGAGTCAACATGGTACATTTCTCGATTGGAAAATGAAATTCTGCTTATGATCTTATTTTCAATCTCTACTGGCGATCAGAAACGTTATATTTAATTATGGGGAAGCATTTAGGAAGAACGTACGTCTAGAGCAAGTTTGAAGTAGACATCTAGGCAGTTCTGGAGTGCTTCAAGCCTTTGTGAAGTTTCCTTTGCATTCCATGTCTTGAATGAACCCTGCCTATGGTGGAATTGCACATCATCAGCAGCCAACTCCAGCTCCTTGCTCAAGGATTCTGTATTCAGTATAGCCAAGAGTAACACAACGTAGATGTCAACAATCACAAACCGTATCAATGTCCGCCTGGTGATATTGTACGAAAGTCAAATTTTCAAAGAGCATTTCTCTTCACCAAAGAATAGCAATGAAAAGATCACTCCTTCAATTCCAAATTGTTGATGTGGACCCAAGTTTCAAGGATAACTGTAAAGTTGAAGAGTTATTTATTCAGAAATTCCTAGAGCACACGAACAATAGCAGATCTTGTCATACACACCTAATTTTTTCTCGGAGACTGTGAAGGGAAGCTTCTCCTTAAAAACCTCGACGTTGTCCTGCAGGTAGCTATCAAAAAGGTCGATCTCCTTTCTTATCAGCCAGTTATTCTGCCTTGAAGATCTCACTTCTGATAGAAGGTCAGTAAGCCTTTTGACTGCATTGAGAACCGGAAGGCGAAATTCATCTTCCATGATGGGTGTGCGTGTGGATGTTTCCAGATTTTCAAGAGTTTGGATAATATATGGGATTCGAATCTGCCAGTCTATTTGGTACCCGAGAAAATTTTGAACTCATCATTCAATTACTGAACGATCGAAATCTCGATGGATCATCGGAAGAAAACACTCACTATCATATCCAGGAACACTAACATTGCGGAAAGATGGCATTGATGCGACGGATCTGCTCATGCGATTGTGTGTAGCCAATCCAAAGATCAATTCCATGCTTGTACTAAATTCGGCTGGATAAGCGGACTCTTCCAGTGATCGAGACTAGCAGTCTCGGACATATACATAACATGGTCTCGTGATACAAGACCCACAGTGGAAGATGAGATGAGAGAGACTCACCTTGAGCCTAATGTGATCCGCAACTATTTGCTTCCAACACCACCTCGACATCGAAGGTGGTGTTGTATCAAACGGTATGCTGGTTCGATCCTTCCGAGAACGCGTTTTGTTCATATGGCAGGAATCAATAACTATTATTCCTATCATCTTCACTCCACGGAATTTTCTCAGTTTATTGGTCAGTGATAAATTATGAATGGTCGAGAACGTGATAAACAGGTTCAGAATGAAGCTTAACTCTGGGCTACTGAAGCTCTGTGAAATCTTAATAAACCGCGTTCGGGCGTTCAGAAGGATTATTTGTATAATTAATTCTTCAAACAAAAACCCATGTCATGCCTGCTTGCGCGGAGCTACATCACTTCCCTTTGCTTAGTACTGATTGACATGACAGTAACACACCAGCAAGTCTTTTGGCTTGCCAACTCATATATTCTCCCAAAGGCCATAGATTTCGTCGTGAGCCACTCATTGTAAACAGAGAGGTAAAGGTATTCCTGTCTACCCTTGTCCATTGGAAAATAGTAAGTTCTGAAGGGTAAGTGATAAGCGTGGAAACATTCTGACCACTTCTGAGTCTCTCGCCAGTTGTACTATTCGAAGTGTGCGTTCTGAAGTCAAACGCTCGCCGTAGGAAACTCTGAACCATCTCTGTTTTCAAATTACTGTTTGTATGCACTGGATGATCTGACCCCTGTGATTCTTTCTATGTTTACAAACAACCATTCGCTTAATCCGGTATGTTCAACAGTTGCTGTCGATCCCAAGATCTCATTGGAAGCGTTTAAATGGTTCAATATTCCATTATGTATACAGACGTGACAGTTTCTTGTCTTTCTTCTCACATTGTACAGAAACGTCTCACAAGCATTATATTACAGCAAGGCTTTGAGTATTTTCTGCTGCTTTAAACATTGGCGCTCAACTACACAAACTTGTGATACGAGTGATTGATACATTTCAAAACCATTTCAAATTTCAGTTCCTTCTTTCCTCCATGTTTCTCTTTAAGAAGAGAATGAGAGGTGTCTTAAAATGCATCCAATTCTCGTTATATCGGCGCAAAATTTCTCTCAGAAGCATGCCTTTTCTACAGCAACTCACTACTGCGCAGCTTAGGCTTTGAGTGCGGCATACCTTTCGGACCGGCATTCGGAGTAACAAAGTGGGGACAGTGATGTGCACAACGGATGGGAACTCTTCACAGCCAGCTAAGAATCTGAACATAACTGCTGTGCTAGCGAAGCTGCGCTGGACAGTGGACCTTGGATAATGCAGCAACGATGGCAACGATCCCCTACAGGATTTGATAAGACTATCCACTCCAAGATTTGCACGGCAAGGCATGCGCCATATGCGCGACTGTACTCCAGTGAGCGACTAAACAAGTTTCCTGCATGGAATCAGGAAAACCTCGCGCCCGTTGAGCCCTCGTTCCATTCCATTCCTTTTAAACGCTTTCACTGTTGCAACTTTTGCTTTTCTCCGCCAAACATTAGAACCTTCAAAGAGCTCGAGAATCTGACGCTGCAAGTTGGTAGAGAAAGAGCAGAGGCCGTTGAGTGAATTAGTATTAGTTTCTTAAGAAACAAGAATACTAAACAATAGATTTGTGACCTCGGCCTTTGAAGCCTGTAGTCTGTGCGAAACTAAAGGTTACTGACTGAAAGTTTGCTTGGTGAAGGGATCTCGATTCCTGCATCGAAGTAATAGCTTTGATGCTGGCTCACCACGAGAGGTGAGATGGATTAGAATATTAAATATTTCCAAATGTTTTCTCTTCAAATATGAGAGTTCTTTCTCCAGTGAATTCTTTGACTTGACTCTGAAGGGTTGACCAGTGTATCTTCTTTGTGAATCACTCATTGCCAGCACAACATCGACTTAATAACCTCTAATTGCGGTATCAGTATTCAGGGTTGCGCCTTGTGATTTGCGTGGTCAACTACAATTCACGGTCAACTTCTCAACTTCATGTGGATGGCAACCAAGCTCAGATTCCAGCTTGAGGTATTTCCAGTATTCTTGGAGTGTCAGATGAGAGGAGAAAATCCGCAATGACTTCGAAATTGGAATCAACAGTGGTCACCGGATCCATAAAGATGTATCTTCAAAGGTTAGGAAATCCTGTCCATGCATGTGGATTCCTCTCATTGTTCTCCTAAGTGATTGGTGACTCACAAAAATATTTTCTTCTTTTACGTATCCGAGATCGGTATCATGTGATATGTTACTCTATGCGGTTCAGGTCCTTGGGACATACAACACGCTAGAATGATTACGTCTGAATCCGAATCTATGTAGTACTGAAAGATAAGAAAAAGTGTAAAGGCAAAACAGATCCGCTAAACACTTCAAGGACTATCAACTATTTACGACTTTATGGTTGGTGGAGTCAACGCCCCTTTTCGATGGAATATAAAGCTTGCATAATAGTCTAGCTAGAAGAAAGTGGGCATGACAGCGGGCCGAAGCACAAAACGAGATTGATATATATTCAGTTGGGCGTCTGTCCAAACTTTGCTCTAATTTGAATGAATTAGCACGGACAGTGGATAAGCACCGTCAGTAAATCAACACTATTGTACTCGACGACCAGACAAGTCCTCGGTAACTCCTTGCAGCTAGTGACTGAATACCGATGAAGAAGATTTATCACAACAGCTCTGTGAGTACTCATAGACGGACTGCCCCAAAATGTGCAGACACTATAAATACAAGAGACCAAAGTTCCTCTCCACAATATGCTGGTAACTTTTTGTTTACTTTATGTGATGAGAGCTTTGTCTGAATGTTTACCAAGGGGTCGCTGATAGAATATAGATTATATCAAAACAAAAATGTGCATCCCATGGTTCTTTCTCTTTCGTTATGTTCTTATCGTGTAGTCAACCAGATACTCTTACCTGCTCCGCGTGCAAGCAAGGGAATTTGAATTCTGAATCAGGCCAAAACAAGAATATGAATACTCTGCCATCATTGTCTTATCCTTTACTTGCCAGAACTCTGAAGGATAGGAAACCGCTAAGTGATACAACCCTTGTTCGTGAAGATGGTGTAGTACTAAAGCCACGTTTGCACTTTCCAAAATTCACTTATCTCAAAATGGCTAGCAATCTACTAAAGTAACGTTATGCCAGAGAAACCAAATTCGAAGATATTGAAGTGCAAAATTATTTCCCCCATTCTTGGAATCAAGCTAGATATTCAAATCCTTATTTAGTTTTGATTATTTTCTCTCAAAATGAAGGGAGAGGAGTAATTCACAGTCATTGTACCATGGTATCACAAAGCCACCGCACGATCATTTCACTGAATTAAATGACAGTTCACTCAGCAACTATATGTTGCATACAAGACAAAGGTTTGGTTTAGTATAAATGGAAATATTAAATAATTCCTCGCTTCTGAGATTTTAGACTATTCGTTTTCACCTCATCCGTGCACCTCTCCAAACCTTTATGAAAAGGTAGCTAAAGGTGAACACGAATGACTATGAGCGCAATTCATCCCTCGTTAAGCTTGCTGTAAGCTCAAGTCGATTTCGTGTTTATTTTTTTAATCAAATTACAATACAATGACTTATATTAGTGTTCACTGATTTTGTCATAACATCCAAATTCCAAGAAAATGGGGTTCGTGGAACTAACAACTAATATTGTTAAATGTTGATATTACTTTATCAGTAGCGGTGACAAGAAAGCAATAACTGCAAATTGTTAGTTATTTTCTACTCCGATTATAGTAATCGAAAATGAGGAGAGTTAATGTCCAGAAAATATTTTCCACAATGATGCTTCCCTGAACAAATTTTGTTACAGAAATATCTATCGAAATACCCAGAAACGAACGATCTTGTCTTTGTCTCTGATTTATTTTTTTCATAGTTCTGAACAAGATCAATACTTATAATTTGGACGTACTAACTATGTTATATGATGTGTTGAAATATAGACGAAAAGAGATATCTTAACAAGAAAACTGATGAGACGGACACTTGTGTGGCTTGACATACAATTGGGGCTTGACATCGCGATGGACTCACAAAAACTTTAGCATATTCGTCATTATGATGATTGGTGACTGGTAGAATAAGAAGTAGCCTCTTACATGTCCATTGTTAGAAACACGAGGATCTTCATTTTTTCTTTTCTTTGGTGAACCTACCATTCCCCTCTCGGAATCATTTGAATGAACCACGCTCTCTACTTTAAGTTCAGTGTCACAGAGAACTCAAATGATATGAGAAAACCCAAATGGCCGGACAAAATATCTAGCATCCAATTTCTCGATTTCTTTTTGCGAGTTCGAAAAAACACACATTGCATGTGAACTGCGTAATAGCCATATTACACGCTATTATAAATGTTATATCTCAGCTGAATTTTATCTTTATGCAACGTATTTGGTTTGGATTTTGAACCTAGTTTTACGTTTTTCTAGTTTTAGTTTCTAGTGAACCTGATTTTTTTAATCTTGTAGAATGATGACTCAAGAAAAGGTAAAAGCATATGGTGACAAAGATTATTTTATATCGTCATCTTATCACCACAAATAAAAATTTACACCTTCTAACAATTGGGAAAAAAACTTAGGTACCGCACTACTTTCAGATTAATTTCAGAATAATATTGAAAGGACAATGGTAACATGGAAGTCTTTTTTGGAAATTTGTTAATCTTTCATTGAGCATCAACGCGGGGAAGGGCATGACAATGCTGAATCCTTTTACTTGACATATAGTGAAAATAAATATCAAACCTTGGATGGGATCATCCTATACCAAAAAAATAATTTTTAATGATATCATGAAACAAAAACTGGTGAAAAAAAAACAATAAATTTTATTTTGAAACTTATTTTAGTTCATACATTAATTGCAAAACAATTCATTGGTGACAAGATGAAAACCTTTCATGTTCATTAAAAAATAAAACCATCATGAAGAAAACTGAAAACATCAAAAGAAAAGTCTATATAAGAAATCTTTATATGTAAATAAATTAATCTCATGCATGAAAAGAATTACCCAAAATATTTTTCATGCAATATATCTTGTCAAAAAAAATTTGAATTTTATTTCAAATATGAAGTTTACAATAGTGCAC